TCTCTTTGATATCTCAAGCGAGCAAAGTTTTGCTAAAGGTAATACAGAAACGGCTGCAATCATACATTGACAGAGAACTTCCAGAGGTTCAAGCTGGATTTAGAAGAGGCCGTGGAACGAGAGATATCATTGCTGATGATGATGAATAGCATTCGTTAAATTTGATCTTTACATGTGAATTAACAATACGCTTTTTACATTTGCTGTAGCGCTGTGGGCCGATGCTCAGACTGCAAAGCCATTTGAATTGCAAGCTCACCAGCTGCTTCTTGGAAACCGTATACATAGTCACTATGGATCAGAACTGACTTGCTGGCACTTAACAACAACAACAATTTTTACTGAAATGTTTTCATTGTTGCTTTTTCTTAATTTAAATATTTTCCAAATTTTTCAAACATGAAAGAGTGCTTTTATTATTTTTCTCCAGAATTTTCATACTGGAAATATCGGTTCTTGCTAAAGGTTACTTGCCAAAATTTCAATCAATGAAATATGTATGTTGTATTTATTTAAGATATTTAAGAGGGCTCAGCTTTTAACGTAGTGCATCCAAGTATTCTTCTTGTATATTCAGAAGTAATATGTGACTATAAAGTACTCTTGGATCTAGAAGATGTCATAAAAATTTCATGTTCAAATATTAGTTTTACTTCTCACTGTGAAGCAGAAAATGAATATTTCTTGGAACGTGTCTTACAGCTTTACTAGATCCAGTTTGCCTTTTTGTAGTCTATTTTTTACACTCCACATTCAGAATTTGTTTGAACATTTAGAAAGTGCAGTTTCTCCTCCTTCCTTGGTGATTGCAGATGCTATTAGAGCTTGGTATTACAAATGGAAGGACTTTAATGTTTGATTTTGCCTCTTAGAAACCACATGCATAGTCTTTTTTTGAGCAGGTTTCCTACATGAAAAGGAGCAGTAACGACACTTGAGGTAAAGGTCTTAACATGCTCTGTGATTAAGGGATCTCACAACTTGTGTAGTCCACACTATTGCTATTGTTAGGTGCCATCAAGTCAGTTCTGACTCATAAGCACCCTGTGTGCCACAGAAGGAACCCTGCCTGGTCTCTGCAGCACCCTGACAGCCTTTCCTGTGTCCGAGTCAACTGTTGCAGCCACTGTGTCAACTCATCTCAGCGAGGGCCTTCTTCCTTTCCTTTGAGCCCTCTACTTTACCAGGGACTGGTCCCTCCTGATAACATGTCCCAAGTACATGAGACAGTCTTTTCACTCTTGTGTCTGTGGAGATTCTGGCTGCACTTCTTCCAAGACAGTTTGGCTCATGCGTCTGGCAGCCCTTGGAATGTCAAAATTCTTTTCGAACACATAATTTCTTTTCCAGTCTTCCTTATTCATTGTCCAGCTTTTGTATGCATTTGAGGCAGTTGAAAACATCATGACTTGGGTAAGACACACCTTAGTCCTCAGAGTGATTTCTTTGCTCTTTAGTACTACAAAGAGGTATTTTGCAACAAATTTGCCTAGTGACTTGTGCCCTTGATTTCTTGACTGCTGTTTCTTCAGGCATTGACTGTAAATTCAAATAAGATAAAATCTTTGACAACTTTTATCTTTTATGTTGCTTATTGGTCCAATTGTGTGGATTTTTTTTTTGTCTCTTTGTTGAGGTTTCATACATATTGAAGGCTGTAATCTTTGATCTTTATCAGCAGGTACTTCAAGACCTTTACTTTCCAAGCAACATTGTATCATCTGCATATCACAGGTTGTTAATAAATCACTCTCCAGTCATGATACCATGTTGTTACTCATGTAGTCCTTTTTTTTTGATTAGTTGCTCAGTATACAGTCTGAGTAAGTATAGTGAAAGGGTATAAAACCGGACGCACATCTCTCCTGATTTTAAACCAAGTATCCCCTTGTTTTGTTTACACACCTGCCTCTTGTTCTAGATCTGTTGTGCATGCTACCAAGTCTCATCTTAGATGATTTTCTTACTGCTGTGCTGAGTGTTTGTCTTGATATTCTCTTAGGAGGTGGAAACCATCCCTTGTTGGTGCCCTATGATACACTGACAGCCAAAGAAAAAGCCAAGGACAGGGAAAAAGCCCAGGATATTCTCAAGTTCTTACAGATCAATGGATATGCTGTGTCCAGGTAAAAGCACACCTGCTCCACTTACACATTGTTTATTTAAATATTTCCATCAGATTTTCTGCCAAAAGTGAATGCAGTGATTTCTAAGCTAGTTTAAAGCTACTATTTTGTATGATCAAAATACATATCTGACAGAAACTTTAATGCCCTTTGCTGTTAACCACACGAGTGAGTTCTGTTTGTTGCTTGCATTCGTTACCCACCAGTGAAGCAAAATCCCCAGGTGAAAGTGACATGATTTTTCTGAAGGCAAGATTTTGCTGCTTAGTAATTGTGTTATTAATGGCAATTTTAATATCATATGTAAAGTTGTTGTTGTTGTTAAGTGCCATGGAGTCAGTTCCAATCCATAGCAACCCTGTATAGGATTTCCTAGTATTCCTTGTAAATTAAATCTAATTTTGCCTTCTGCTACAAGAATACTAAATACACTTTAGTAAATGAATACTTTTTTCCTTGTATAATGTTTTATCTTCTAATAGACTTTGTAAGGAACCCTGGTGACGCCATAGCTAAGCGCTCATCTGCTAACTGAGAGCTTGGCGATTGAAACACACCAGCTGCTCCTCAGGAGAAAAGACCTGAGGATCTGCTTCCTTAAACGTTATGGCCTGAACATCCTATTGAGCAGTTCTAGACTGTCATAATAGGATTACATGGATCATTGTGCATTGGTATCAACTTAACATCACCCATTAACAATATCAATAGACTGTGTATAAATTGCTCTGAATTTCTCCTTTTTGCTATTCCAGAGGGTTCAAGGATCTGGAACTGGACACGCCTTCTATTGAGAAACGATTTGCCTATAGTTTTCTCCAACAACTCATTCGCTATGTGGATGAAGCCCATCAGTATATCCTGGAGTTTGGTAGGTACCACAATCCTATAATTAGTAGACCAGTATTTGCTATTCTTAATGCTTAAAACATAGGTGTATAGAATAGCACAGTCTTCTCCGGTAAATATTTACAGCTGTGGAAACCCTAAGCAGGGTCGCTGTGTCAGAACTGACTCCACAGCACATAACCACTACTACCACTGCCACCAGGCTGTTTACGTCTTACTCTATGAAGGCATAAGCATACTATATACAGTTTCATGTTTAGTACCCTTCATCATTCTGTAGGTAAGCAAGTTTAGTTCATCTTGTTGTTATGCACAATAGAACAAAACAATGCCCACTCCTGTGCCAACTTCATTCCATCTTGTTGGGGGTCTTCCTCTTTTTTGCTGACTCTCTACTTTAAATCATGATGTCTTTCTATAGGGACTTGTCCCTCCTGATAATATGTCCAAAGTATGAGACATGAAGTCTGCCCATCCTGGCTTCTAAGGAGCATTCTGGCTGTACTTGACTTCTTCCAACATAGATTTGGTTTTGGCAGTTCTTGGTACTTTTAATATTCTCCTCCAATACCATAGCTCAAATGCATCAGTTCTTCTGTAGTCTTCTTTATTCATTGTCCAGCTTTCATATACATATGAGATTGTTAAAAATATCATGACTTAGATCAGGTGCACCTTAGTCCTCAAACTGACATCTGTGCTCTTGAACACTTTAAAGAGTACTTTACATGAACTCTTTAAAGTTTGTTCTTAGTGATGAGAAAATTTTGAACACTTTTTTTTTTCCCCCTTAATTGAGCATAGACTATTTTTCCCTTTATAATACGTATTGGCATGGGTTTTTCATTTTGAAATATAAACTGGAAGAATATAAAAATATTAAGATACAGCTAATAATTTCCCAATGAAATGATTTGCTCTTCTCTTTACAAACAACCCATAAAATCTCAAAAACTCTTATGGATTCCCAAAGTTTGTAGACAGTATAAAAGGCCTTGGGTTTACCTTTGTAAATATCATAGGGATACATTAGTAGTGCATACTACTTTATTATTCATTGAGCATAAAAAGAAATACCTTGTCTTTATCTGACCCTGCCATCTATATAAAGGAAGAACCTGTTATATTTTAGAGTCAGAACAAATAAGCAAGGTAGACTTCCATTATTTCTTTTCTCTCTCATCATTCTCAACTGTTGAATTTAAATTCCAAGTGATTATTAGCCAGGGGTTGGTATTAAAATGAAGGAGTTTCAAAAAATTCAGGGAAAAACTCCATAATCTTTCTACTTCATTTTTCCATGAACTTTTGAAGCTCTTTCCCATATAATAAATTGTAGCTTGGTCTCTAGAAGGAGTGTTCTCGTTTTGTTTTTTTTAATGTTTTATTGTGAATTATGCGATGGTTTACATGGGAGAACATTAGTTTTAAATTAATCCTATCGTATATCGTTTCATTGCTATGGTTACAATCCCCTCCATGCATCATCAGCCAGTCAAAGGGTATACACTACAAGATTGCCCCCCAGTCATCAGCATACTACCCCTCTTCCTCTCTGTGGTTTGTTTTTTTTTATGTTTTTATTGTGAGTTGAGTGAAAGTTTACAGGGCAGATCATCAGTTTTACATTCAACAAATCTTATACCTTATTTCATTACAATGATTATAATCCCCTCCATGTACCATCAGTTAACAGTATTTCTCTCTATTCATTTTAGCTCTTTTTTTAAAAAAAAAAAACACAGAATGAGTGTTCTCTTGTGGTTGTGTATTTTTATGTTCTTTAACACTCTCAATTTTTAAAAAATGTTCATAATTTTTGTAATGAACATTTTCAGTCTCCTGGCTCCTCTCCTCATGGTTCATAATCCCAGATTCCTTAGTAACTGATTTATTAACAGACAACCTCCAAAACCAGGATTCCTGTTGCTGCTCTTTTACTCAGGATTTAACTTAGTTTCTGACACTACATTAGATTAACATTTGTAGAATTTCAAGTTCTGGTAAATTTCTTGTTCTTAGCTGTAGGATTTAAGGGGAGTATGTGATGGCACTTAACAACAACAACAATGTGAAGCCCACCCGGCAGTAGCTCTCTAAACCAAGGAAGACTTTCTGACAAAAAAAAAATTAATGGTAGTTAATGCTATATGCAAGGAGCTCTGGTAGCGTAATGGTTACGAATCGGGCTGCGAGCCGCAAGGTCAGCAGTTCAAAACTACCAGCGGTTCCGTGGAAGAAAGATAAGGCGGTGTGCTCCCGTAAAGATTTATAGCCTCGGAAACCCTGTGTAGGCTCGCTATGAGTTGGAACCGACTCCACGGCACACAACAACAACAACAATGCTATATGCAACTGTTCTCTGGGAGAGGAGTCTAAATTAGTTTCCTAATTGTGATTATAGATTTTCCAGCTGAATATTGTTCCAGACAAACCTGTATCTCTATAACGCCTCATTTTAACTATAGACCAAATGCTGTATTCTTCCTCTCGTCTTAATTGTCCATTTCAGCAAGCAAGTTTGCATCATCTACACATCGCAGGTTGTTAATGAGTCTTCCTCCAGTACTGATGCCACATTGTTCTTCATGTGATCCAGCTTCTCAGGTTATTTGCTCAGCATACAGATTAAATAAGTCTGGTGAAAGAATACAGCCCTGGTGCACATCTTTCCTGATTTTACACCATTCATTGTCCGCATGTTCTTTTCGAACGACTGTCTCTTGGTCTATGCACAGGTTCCTCATGAGCACAATTAAGAGTTCTGGAATGCTCATTCTCTGCAATGCTGTCCATAGCTTGTCATGATTCACATAGTTGAAAGCCTTTGCATAGTCAGTAAAGCACAGATAAGCATCTTTCTGGCATTCTGTGATTTCAAAGATCCACATGATGTCAGCAATGATGTTCCTCATTCCTCATCCTTGTCTGAGTCAGGATTGACACTCTGACAGTTCCCTTTCAGTGTACTCTTGTAAACAGTTTTAAATTATCTTTAGCAACATTTTACTTGAATCTGATGTTGATGGTATTGTGCGATGATTTCTGCACTCCATTGAGTTACCTCTCCTTGGATTCCAGGGCACAAATACAGATCTCTTCCAATCAGTTGGCCCGCTAGCTGTCTTCCAAATTTCTTGGAGTAGATGAGTGAGTGCTTCCAGTGCTGCATCAGTTTTTGAAAGATTTCACTTTGTATTCCATCAATTCCTGGTGCCTTATTCTTTGGCATTGCCTTCAATGTACTTCTACCTTCATTGTCATTGACTCTTGATGATTACTACCTCTTGAAATGGTTGAATATTAACAATTAATCTTTCTCTAATCCTGGTGCTTTTTTCTTCTTAATTTAATCCAATTTCTCTGATTACTTGTTCAACATTCAGTTTTAAAAAGTTTGGTTAAAGGATGGTACAAGCCTGACACACACCTTTTCTAGTTTCAAACCATGCAGCACCCCCTTGTTCTATCGGAACAGCCGTCTCTTGGTCTATGTACAGGTTCCTCACAAGCACAATTACGTGTTCTGGAATTCCCATTTTTGACAATGTTATCCATATTTTTTTATGATCCACATAATCAAATGGATCATTGGTAAACATGTTTCTGATATTCTCTGCTTTCAGCCAAGATCCATCTGATATCACCAGTGATATCCCTCATTCCAAGTCCTTTTCTAAAATCATCTTTTAATTTCTTGCAGCTGTCGCTTGATGTATGACAGCTGCAGCCAGTTTTTAATTATCCTCAGCAAAATATACTTGCATGGGATGTTGTTCAATACTTTCTGCATTCTAGTGGGTCATCTTTGGAGTGGTCACAAATATGGATGTCTTCTAGTAACTTGACTAGGTAACTGTCTTCTAAAGGTCTTGGCATAAATGAGTGGGCTCTTCTAGGATTGCATCCATTTCTTGAGCCATCTCAACTGGCATTCTTTCAGTTGATTGTTGTTAAGTGCCGTCAAGTAAATTGTGACTCATGTCAACCAAGCCTAAGGTTTCTGAGACTGTAAATATTTACAGGATCAGAAAGCTTCATCTTTCTCCTGTGGAGTGGTTGGTGGTTAGCAGTCCAGTGCTTATTCTATAGAGCCATCCATCTCTGTCAATTCCTAGAGTACTGTTTTTATCTAGTGCCATAAGTGCAAATTGGACTTCATCCTTCTTGATCATATTCTACTTCCTGAAATGATGGAATGTTGACGAGTTGTTTTAATACAGTGACTCTGTGTATTCCTTCCATTCATTTTTGATGCCTGTTACATCCTTCAATGTTTTATCCATTGTTGTTGTTGTTAAGTACCATCAAGTCGTTTGCGACCCATAGCAAGGAGCAACCACAAACCTTGAAGTTCAAAGTGACGTTGCAGTCCAGCACATAACCCACAGCACCACATTCCCTTAATATTACAACTCAAGACTTGGATTTTTTCTTTTGGTTCTTTTAGTTTGTGAAATGCTGGGAATGTTCCTTCCTTTTTGTTTTCTAGCGCCAGGTCTTCGTACATTTAATTTCACTACTTTACTTTATCTTCTCTAAGCTGCCCTCTCAAATCTTCTGTTTGGATTTTTTACTTCATCATTTCTTGCCTTTTTTTTTTTTCCTTTTACATCTACTCTACTTTTAAGAGTATATTTCAAGGTGTGTTTATACCTCTTTTTTTTACCCCTGTCTTTACAGCTTTTTAATGATCTTTTTCTTTCTTCAGGTTTGATGTCCATTAATTATATAACCAGTACATCCCACAACTCATCTGCTTTTCATGTACTAGTATTCAGTGCATCAAAGTCTTTACAGCTTTTTAATGATCTTTTTCTTTCTTCAGGTTTGATGTCCATTAATTATATAACCAGTACATCCCACAACTCATCTGCTTTTCATGTACTAGTATTCAGTGCATCAAATCCATTTTGAGATGGTCTGTATATTCAAGTGGAATATACTGAAATTCATATTTTGACCTTGAGGACATGTTTTAATTTTTGTCAGCTTCAACTTGAACATGTAGATGAACAGTTGATGGTTTGATATGAATTTCAACCCTGACCTTGTTCTAACTGATGATATTGAGCTTCTCTTTTCTGTTTCCATGTATGTTGTCAGTTTGTTCCTATGTATTTCATCCAGTGAAATCCACATAATTCCATGACTGACAGCATTGCGCTTTAGGATAGAACTTGACATGTTCTGTTTCGTGATGAATGAGCTACCATTCTATTTCAATGGAGTCATTTCTTGCATAGTAGACCATATAATTGTCCAGTTCAAAATGGGCAATACCACTTCATTCCAGGTCACTAATATCTATTACATCAGTCTTCAAGTGATCTATTTCATTTTTGATAACTTTCAAATTTTTTTGTATTCATTCTTTATGCATTCCATGTTCTGAAATTAACAGCTATTTATTTCTTCTCATTTTGTGTCATGCCATATCAACAAATAAAGATCCTAAAAGCTTTTCTTCCTCTGTATCACTAAAGTTGATTACTCTAGTCTACTCTAGTCATATTTTTATGGCCTTCCAACATAATGGGCTCATTTTATGGCACTTTACCACCAGTGTTCCATTGTTATTGCTAAGGTTTCACAGTCCAATTTTTTAAAAAGTAGATGGCCAAGTCTTTCTTCCCAGTCTGTCTAGATGTTCTGCCGAAATCTGCCCACTGTGTGTGATCCTACTGGTGTTTGAAATACCCATGTCATAGCTTCCAGAGTAACAGCAGCACTCAAGGCAAACTGACAGACAAGGGGTGTAGAATTACCATATGACTCAACAGTCCCACTCCTAGAAATAACCCAAAAAACTTGAGAGCAAGACTCAGTCACATACTTGTACATGCATGTACATTGAAGCACTTTTCACAGCAGCCAAAGGGGAATCATTCCATGTGCCCCTCAACAGGTGAATGGCTCAACAAAATTACAAAAGAATCAAATATTTGGCTTTGTTCGTTTGTGAACTATCAGGTGTAAAAGGAAAGCCACAGGTAGGAAGTAGGACACCTGGTGTTCAGTGAGGGGGTTGTAATCATTGGTATGAAACAGGCATATCATTTGTTTAATGTAAAGTTGATGATCTTGTCTACTGACCTTTACTCAATTCACAATAAAAAGTTAAAAAAAAAAAAAAAAGAAAAGAAAAGTGAATCGTCTTCATCCACAAAGAAAAATGGATTTCTGGAACATGCTCCAGCCTGAATGAGCCTGGAAAACAGCCTGCTGAGTGGCGGGAGTCCATCACAAAAGTATTCCCACTTACATGATGTTTCTAGAATAGGCAAATGTATAGAGCTGAAGCTTATTTATGGTTCTCGGGAGTGTGTGAGTGGGAGGGGTTTAGGGGCACAGGAATTAATTTAGGGGTGATGGGAATATTTGGGAGTAGAGAGTGGCGATGATTGTACCAGATAATGAATGTAATTGATGCCACTGAATTAGACATGTAAAATGGTTCATATGGCACATGTTTTCTCACACATATCATTACCTCAATTGAAAAAAATACCCAGGGAAAGCAAAGCTAATCAGTTATGTGTTCCCACTTGAACCTCAAGTTTTGTACCTTAGGTGAATATAAATGTCTGCTGGCGATGTGGGATTTTTATGGAAACTTAGCCTGACCATTTATGTTTTCTCTCAGTTTTCTTGTTCTGGTGACAGTCACTCACTAAGTCTGCTGAAGATATGTGACTTTTGCTTAATTTTATTTCAGTTTCCCCAGAGTATACAATTATGTCTGTGGCTGTAACCACATGTGTTGGCTGTTCTCAATAGTTTTTTATTTGGGTTTGTGTGTTTTTAAAACTCCTTTTTCTTATCGTTACATTGGCAAAGTTAGCCTTTACATTTTGGTTGTCTTTTTATGTTTGGATTGGTGGATAACGCAGTTCGTAATGTAGTCTATTACTCTGTAGTTCAGATGACTGTCATAATGTTTGATGTAAAACATGAACCTAAAATCTCTTTATATCTGCAGATGGTGGTTGCAGAAGCAAAGGAGAACATTTCCCGTATGAACAAGAAATCAAGTTCTTTGCTAAAGTACAGTATACAGTCCATCTTGTTTTTGTGTCAATATGTTTGCTTCCAAAATTATACTCTTTTGATCTTTGCCTTTTCCACTGATAAGAACTTTACTACAAGTACATTTTCTGTGGCGTGAAAGTATAGCCCACTATTATTCATTCACTTTAGCTATTGATAATTTGCTCGATGCATGGAGCCATTCTTTAGGCAGTAAGGGAAGGAGATGAAGAGCTACAAAGCCTCCAAAGGAAATTTGTCTCCTTTCTCAGAGCGCACAATGTGCCTGGTCATTAGACTGGCGTTGTGCTATTATCTCGGAGCTCCCTGTGGTCCATGACCCATCATGGACACAGTCTTGAGAAGCAAAGGTTTTCTTCTTACAATACCATTTATTTAACCTAGAGACCTATTGCTTGCTGACAATTTCCTTTCTGTGGATTTGCATTTGGTAAGACTGTTTTAGAAAACAATACATTTTTTTTTGGTGGACTTTAAAATAACATCTCATTTTGATCAATTGACATTGGGTGTTTATTATGTTTTCAGTATTGTTTCATTTATGGTAACAATTCATGGTAAGGAACAGAAACAAAGTTTCATTTGTGGCTCTTTCCTGCCACTCAATATAGCATTTGAAGTATGTACCAATCATCTGAAATTTGTTATGTTTTTACATATATATATATCCAGTCCCTAATAATTAGGAGCTCTGGTAGCGTAGTGGTTACGAATCGGGCTGCTAACCTCAGGGTCAGCAGTTCGAAACTACCAGCTGTTCCGCAGGAGAAAGATGAGGCTTTCTGCTCTTGTAAAGATTTGCAGCCTTGGAAACCCTGTGTAGGGTCGCTATGAGTCGGAACCGACTCCACGGTACACAACAACAAATACGTAGGATGTGACCTGACAGCAAGTTATCAACAATTCTGGATTCATGGCCTCTCACTATACTTTTCAAATGAATTTCTCATATTGTGTTTTCCACATACTCAATACCCTTAGGGTTGTTGTTGTGAAGTGCTGTTTAAGTCGGTTTTGACCCGTAGTGACCCTGTCTGTATAGCATTTCCAACCTTTCAGTTCAAATGGCTTTGCAGTCTGGCTTATTAACCCACAGCGCCACATGCCTAATGTGGCTTCATTGATAGTAAGCCTGTGATTCATTCATTCACCAACTTTACTGAGTACATACTATGTGCTATTCACAAGGTGTAAGCAATGTAGCAGTCTCAATGTGTACTCCCAGTATATATATAAATGATAAAGGAGAAAGATGTAATAGACAGACACACGAGTTTGGATACTGGTTATGCCAACCCTTAGTACTCTTTTCATCAGCTTTTCACTTATTCATTCATCAATATTCATCTAGTGCTTTCTATATAGGCCCAGCAGAACCCTAAGCCTTAGGAATTCAGTGGTAAACAAAACAAACTAAAAAGCAGTTAGCTGCAAATGATTCTTACTTTCATAGATCTTTTAAGATTCTTAGGGAGCATATGTCTTTAATACAAAATCTCACATGTAAAGCATTAGATTACAAATGATACTATGAAAACAGGGAATACAAGCATTTTATTTTGTGCTGATGGTGCAGTGATGAAGTCACTTGACTGGTAACTGAAAGGTTGATGTTTTGAACTGACCAGCCACTCCAGAGGATGAAGATGTGGCATCTGCTTCTGTAATGATCACAGCCTTGGAGACCTTCAGGGGCAGTTCTGCTCTATTAAACAGGGTTGCTATGAGTCGGAATTGACTCAATGGCACGCAGAATCACAACTCATTGAAGATATCAGGCTTGTCTGATCTTACGACTGGGTTAAGTCTAAAGGAGGTGGGGTGAGCATTTCAGACAGCCAGAATGGCATGTACAATCCCTGTGGAATGGGTGAACAGAGTGAGGAGAAGAAATGGACCAGTGGCCATCATGGTTAGCCTGCTGACATGGGAGGTGGTATTGAGAGAGGCCAGCTGGTAAGAACATTGTGTAGGTGACTGTGAGTAATTCACTTACTCTCTGTGCCTCATATTCAATACCTGTAAAGCAGGCACAATGGCATCTGCCATTACAGAGTATGTAGGATAAATGAAATGACTTTGACAACAATCCCATTCTCCCAGTTAGAACAGTAATGCATCAATAGTAGAGACTTCATTTGATAATTAATTGGTAGCCATTTAGTATCTTCTAACAAGGAACTCTGGTAGCATATAGCATAGTTGTTACAAGTCAGACTTCCGACCTCAAGGTCAGCAGTTCGACACTACCAGCGGTTTTGCGGGTAAAAGATGAGGCATTCTGCTCCTGTAAAGATTTACAGCCTCGGAAACCCAGTGCAGGGTCACTGTGATTTGGAGCTGACTCCACTGTACTTAACAACAAACCTGGTATGGACTGAACTATGCTATATGAAAATAATTTTCTAAATCATTGAAAAGTTCATTGGTTCCCCATAACTGCACCCCACTTTACCAGGCACACATGTGTGCATACAGACACACACACACACACACACACACACTGGAGATTGCAGAATAAATCTGAAAACAGATCTACTACTCTGGAATGTTCTAGCAGCCTGGCTTTGGGTGCTGAGGGACCTGTTGCATGGCTGTCTGCTTGGAAGCCCTGGCATGCATTCATTCAACCACTTACAGATTCCACGGTACACATCTGTTTCTCTTTGCTTTCTTCCAGGTTGTGCTTCCTTTAATTGATCAGTATTTCAAAAACCATCGCTTGTACTTCTTATCTGCAGCAAGCAGGCCTCTGTGTTCTGGAGGACATGCATCAAACAAAGAGAAAGAAATGGTGACTAGGTAAAAATCTATAAACATAAAAAATATTGTTTGAATGAAGGTGTGCCTGTGGTAAGGAGACTTTGGGGACTTTGAAGTAGTCGGGTAAACAGTGTGCCCATCTGTTTTGGTCCCTGTCCATTTGGAATCAGACATTGTGAGGTGTAGACAGTTTCCACAAGTTAATGTTCATGTTCAGACATTGCTGTTGTTCAATGCAGATGGTATAGAAAATAACCCAGTACAAGTGCAAAATTCACAAGAAGAGGCTACATTCCTCTGTAAGAACTTTTTTACAAATTCCCCTTTTAATATTTTCTGTTGTTTCCTTGTTTTTTAGTTTTTTACAAAGGTATTATTTTTACCAGTTTTTACTTACAATAAGGCAAAATCCCATTTGCACCAATTCTAATTTAATATTTTTGACATTGATAAATCTTGGAAGGAAATGAGGTAAAAATATATACATTCTGAAGATTCTCCTCACACCACTCACACCTCAAACCAGCATCTTCTCATTTTGTTTAAAGTAAAGTATTCTTTGTAGATTTATTCTTGAATTTATTGGAAAATTCGGGTCTGTTTCCTAAAATTCTGCTAACACTTATTACAGAATAATTGATTCCCAAGCTAGTAATTATTTGTATTATCTGTATTATTGCCCTGCTCAGGAGTTAGTGCCAGGTCTTTAGATTGTGTCTGAAGAAAACCTTTGTGGAAGTGAGTAGACTGCATGGAGCACAACACTGGGGAAAATACCAGCTTTCTTTGAACTTGACTTTCATGGTGTGCTGCTAACCAAGGAACAACCATGCAGTATCAACCATTAGTGCTGATTAACGGGGATGGAGTACAGAAGATCCTTAAGTAACAGCAAGAAGTAGCGTTTCTGGATTTGTAACACTGCAGTGAGAACTGGAAGGGAATCCAAGATCTGATTTCCCCCCTAATTTAGAATATATTTTACTACTACCAACTGGTAGGCAGCCAGTCATGGGACACAGGATTGCAACAATATTTAAAATGTCCCCAAACGTCTTCAAATGATAATTTTCCTATGAAGTTGAGAAAACTGATGATAGTGAAAGTATCAGAGAGAACCCATGCCAGGGAGATGCTTTGTGTCCACAAATTCAGTTATCAGAAGGAGAGGCAAGAGTGTGTTCCTTTCCCATTGTGCCCCTCTGGAGGGCCTTCCTTCCTGCCCCCAGCTCCCTCACTGCTCCACACAGGGTCCAGACAGCACCTGACGCCAGTACCCATCTCACCTCCCACAACTGACGACCCTGGAAAGGCTTCTCATGAGCCCTGTGGCCAGTCACCTTGTGAGATACACGCTTTGGTCCCAGGAGGCTTCTCTTTGTTACAAAAACAAAGAGAAAATGGGAGAAGAGCAAATAGAGTGATAAATAAAAATCTCCTCCCATCTCTGAACTGCGTTTTATTACTTCTATTCAGGTTTCAGCCTTACCCCCCAAAATACTCACTGATCCTGGAATTAATTTGTTTTCCTTGACTGACTCAGTGTCCCTCGTAGACTAAACCAGACGAGCATTGTTACTTTGAGCTAGCTCCCCCTGACATGGGTGTTTAGACTACCCCTTGAGCAGAACTGCACTAGACTTTTGAATTTTTTTTTTATAATCTCATCTTTCATTTTTCTTCACATCATGAAAAGGAAGTTGGTAAATTTTATTTCTTCCACAGTACCGCATATGCCACGCAAAATTCCAGCATATAGGAATGAGATGGAGAAGGAAAGAAATAACTTATTTCACCACTTATTTTAGTGCCTAAAACATCAGTAGACTTTAACCTCAGAGAGAAAAAATCATGGGTGGAAAAAACCATTAAGGTAATGGATTAAAAAATGATAGCACATGCATATGTTTTATTTTTCCATGTTTTTCACAGGGTTTGAAATGAAAAATCATATAGTCATAAAAACTATGTTTAAAAATAACCACCACACACATATAAAGACCCAAATAGTTTTCTTTGACACGCTACAATAAAATCACGGAAGCACATGTATGCCTGAGTGTGTGTTGTATTTATGTGTGAAACATATATACATATTATGTTTATGTAAAAAATAAGTACTTAAAATGTTGATTCCTTACCATTTCAGTTAAATATTACAATTTCTGAGGTCGTGTATTTTTGTGTGTGTGAAAAATTAGGTAAAACTACATGAACTGTAATGATAAGAGATAGTTTTAATTTACATTAAACCATTTTTAACTATTTTAAAAAGTTATGAATACCAGTAGTTGAATGGGTCTGAGTTCATTTCTCTACACCTAAAAAGTGGCTGCTTCCATTAGGTGTTTAGATACTTTCTGGAACTAGGAATGATGTATTATCCATTGCATGTAAAGTCTTATCCTGTCTGCAATGAAGAGGAAGATTTGGTCTCTGTACTCCAGGAGCGTGCATGACAGTAGTTAGGTATATGAGTGTGAATGTAGCTTCATCAGGAGGAGAGAGCTTAGAGGAGCTATGGGGTTCAGAGACAAGCAAGACAACTTGGGTGGTGGTGGTTTGGAGGATCTCAAGACTTGTGAGATGAAACGTGGCTTTCAGAATGTATGTGGAGATCAGAGACTGAAAGGGAGTACTCTTCTCATTGTAGATAACAACATGTAGAAGCTGGCAATTTAGCAGAATGTTATTTTTTTCTTAATTTTTGCCTCCTCCCTCCCTCCTTCACTCCATCTCTCCTTCTTTCCCTTCCTTTCTTCTCTAAAATCACTGAAGCATGGTAAGAGGATGAAGCATAGTGAGACAGCACAATAGATGTGGTCAGAGTGGGAGAGCTGGGGATCTAGGCCAGGAGAAGAGGAGGTTATTGCTGGCATCCAGGTGATTGCCACACCATTATGCTACCTCAAAGAGGCGCCACTCACTGGTGTGTCCAGCTGGTATTTTTGAGCCCCTGCCTCGTGCAAGATGCTGTACTATTTTCTGAGGATAAACATACAGGCACACACACAACTCATTTCTGAATTTTAATGAACTTACAAGTACAGCAGAGTAAAGTGATTCTTACAGAGCTAAGCCAACAATAAACTGTGATAACTGTAAACTGGAGACACATATGAAGTTTGGGGACTATGTTGTTGCTGTTGTTAAGTGTCATGGATTCAGTTCAATAGAGACCCTGTATAGAGTTTCCGAGTAGCAGCTGTTGGGTTTGAACCCCAGACCTTGAGGTTAGCAGTCTCATGCTTAGAGGAGATGTAAATGTAGCTAGGGGCTGGATGTGGGAATACTGAGGTGAGAAAATGTTCATGGCTTAGCAATGAGCAAGTATGGCTAGTAGGAGCCCTGTGTGCCGTTGAAGTGAACAATGTTGGTGCCACTAAGGAAAATCAGATTTCTCAGAGCTCATTTTGAAAATAACAGGTAAACTTGTTTTGCTGCTCATTGAAATAGAGATGCAAGTACTGGCAGGTGTTCAGCGGGAGCTATCTAGCCGAGATTTGGAAATGTGGGTTTGTCATCAGTGGAGAGAGCAGAGCAAGAAAAGACATATTTGGGGATTTTCTATGCACACATAAAACTCAAAGATCTGAAGGTCAGTGTGCTAAAGGAGAGTTCAGACAGAAGCAGAAAGGTCTGAATACTGGAAATTGGAATATTGCTACATTTGGAGGATTTTCAGAAGCAGGTCTTTGAAGAACATGGAGAACAACGGTTAACTAGAGAGCACAGGGAAGATCACTATAAAGCAGAAACCACGGGTGGTGCAGAGTTTCAGAGATTGAAGTCATCATTGAAGCCAAGTACTAGGCTGAAAAAGATGGTTTCAAAGATTTAAGTCATTGGTGATGCAGAGAAGTGGACTGAAAACGTGGTTCTTAAAGTGACTGACTAGGGGTCATTGGTGAATGTCCAGGGAGTGTTTGAATAGAGCAGTAAGTGCTGAGGACAATGTTGTTAGTGAAGGAAAGGGAAAGAAAACAGTATGATTAAGTTTGTTAAGACAGTACTAAGAAAAATATTTTTAGAGAAATTAGAGACCCGTTATTCATATCAAAACATAGTGTCCTTACAGAAACTGCCCAGAAAGCAGATGACACAGGAGGAGAAAGAAATATATTTGTCTTTTTGGCAAGCCTTTCTGGTAGCACTTTTACCAAGAGGAGGTTAGGAAGCAGCTGAGGTTGTAAAGTCATTTCCCCTGCAATCTGATGGAATAGGATCCAGGGTGATTCTCTTCTCCATTACAGCAGAGCATCGTAGGACCTGGAGTCCTTGAATTATGTTGTAGCCGTAGCATTATGAAACCATCATCATCCTGAAAACCTCAGGATCTTCCCTCTAGGTGCTTGAGAGTATCAATAACAAATAAGAGATATGACTTCAAGTAGCTTAGGGGACAGGGATCTCAGGGTGTGACAGTTCTAAAATATAATCCCTCAGTTCAGGAGACAGCCATTTAAAAAGTAAAACCGTTTTTAAGTAATTGTTAATTGTTGAAATGATCTTAATTTTTCATTGTTTTCACTTGAAACAATTCAGGGGTCTGTTGTCTAATTTTATGTCCAATAGTTACTTGGATAAATCTTTGTTTTAAGAAGACGTTGGCTCGAGAAATTTGGTCATTGGTGGGAAAACTTTAGTTTTTATTTGAAAAGCTACAAAAGGCCCTGACATGAATTTTCAGTGACAGATTATTTCAAATTATTACTGATGTGGGGAACGATGGCTAAATATCACAAAATGTGACCTCTGTCTCCTTTTTCTCTCACCCTGCCATGGGCTGCTTGTGTTCACATGGTGTTTGTTCCTAGCCCCAGTGAGCTGTGTATTTCAGCACTTTTGGTCTTGGGCAAGCTTAGTCAGTGCAGGTCTATGGGAACACAGCTTTTCATCATTAGTGGTAGGCTTTGGTAGGTGCTGTGGATGCAGAGCCTGTGCCTTCTGTCAGCCCTGGGAGGTATGCGTAGAGCGAAGGTAACATGGGGTTTAAGTGCCATACCATGGCAGAGCTATGCCGTGGCACCTGGGGGCAGCTAGGAGGAACTCCCTTTCAGTTTCTAACACTGCTCATCTCAGAGTCAGTTTTTGTTCTGACAAATTACGCAGCCAAAGTGGTGAAGGGGTACTGAGTTTAGGTGAGAGTTCTTAAAACAAACACCTTCTGAGCAGAGTCCAGAGATGGGTAGGAGGCAGTGTAGAATGGGAACGAGTAAAAGGTAGTTCTGAAAGGAGACTAGCAAGGAACACCTGGGACTAAGGTTTGTCGTCTCGAGTGTGAGCTGAGGGTCATTGGGAGTCAAAAAACCACCATGCCTGAAGGTGGGATGAAAGCAGCCGTCTTCAGTATCATCCGTTGCTAGATGCCATCAATGGCACAGACATAGATGCAGGCATTTGCTCTAGAGATCAGAAATGTGTTCCACTCATTCATTACCATTAAGATTCCTTTACATTAGCACATCTGTAATGTTTTCCTGTGAGTGATTATCAGTGTACATTCTGTTTCTGTTTCACTGCTTTCAAATTCGATGGGTCAGTAGGGGATTTTGGATGTGTGTAAGGGATCTGAAAGCAAATTTCAAATATTTCATTTTACTAAAACTTTGTTATACTTAATGACAAAAGCATCATGTTTCTGTTGTTAAATAATGTCCATAATAAAGAAATAAGCAATTCTAGCAGTTCACTAGTATATCTGGGCAGATAAAATTAATTTTTTCCAGCAATTTTTCAGTAGTTGTATTTTTGTGGGTTTTATATAGATTGCTTTTATATTAATTAGCTTTGCTTTCAACTTTTTTTTTTTTTTTGGTTTCTTATAATATGTGCTTTTTTAACCATGTTTGTTAAAGATATGCACTCAAAGACTCTTTCTTTAATATGTTTACTCCACATTCTGCTCAGAGAATTGATTCTTTCTGCGTGACATCATGTTGCTTTCTTCCGGCTCATTTATCAGCTGTTTATTTTTTCTGTTTTCTTCTTCTTCTTCTTCTTTTTAAAAAAATTTCTCCCTGTCTTTTCTACCTTCCCTTCCCCCCTTCCCTTTTCTCTTTTGTTTTTCTTTTGTCTTCAGCCTATTCTGCAAACTTGGAGTTCTTGTCAGGCATAGGATTTCACTATTTGGTAAGGAGACCCTTGGAAAAATACTAGCATGGCCATCACCTGGTTTGCTTTGCCATTTTTGCACTGTGTTGTGTGTGTGTGTGTCCATGTTGCATGAACGCATGGCTGCATGTATGATCTGCATAGGGTTCTCTGGGCTGTTTGTAAGTAGCATTATCTTTGGCACAATTGAGGACTGCTACCGTTTTTAAATTAGTCTAAAGCACAAGTGAAAATTAAAAGGTTGTGTTTTTAAACAGCAAATGAATAACAATAATAGTCTTATTTATTTCTGAGGGGTAAAGTAACACTGGGCCCTTGAGTTTGTGTTGGTTTAGTGCTGATAGATGAAATGATGAACTGTTGTAAATCAAAATTGTTAAACTGCCATTATGTTTTTGATGCCCCTAACTTCAGATGTGGATCTCAGAATAGACAGATGTGCTAGAGTGACTTTGTCAGAGTCAGTTTTGGTTCCTGACAAGTTACACAGCCAAAGCCCATGTTCCTGAGCACCCAAAGAACAGTCACTCCTTTCCACACACTTTTCCCTGCTGTGGCATTTCAGTTGTTAATAGCACCTGCCAGAATTTGTGTTGTACACTTTCTTGCATGGGCTTCTATAAAGCACCAATGCAAAACTTTAGCCCTTTATTATGTGGGTTTTGAGATGATGTTGGGATAATTTCAGTTACAGGGTCCTTAGAGTGTTGATAAAGATGGTATAAAGTCAGTTTCATTCACAGAACAAACTAAGGATTGAAAAAAATGAAGCCATTTCTACAAAAGCACAGTGAATGAATTAAGGAATAGGCCTATATGCAAATAACTGTTACGCTCTTATAATATTGAATTTATTGAGAAATGATAGTTTCTGGATATAGTTAGTAAATGCTGTATTTGGTTTCTAGTGTTATTATTGCATCCAGCAACTGATATACTGAAATTTATTAATTAAAATTTATAATTTATATGTTTCCTAAATGGCACTGAAGTTTCAGTTATTTAAAAATGATTGGGTCAGGTGTCTGCAGTCATTTCTACGTGACTGGTTTTTGTTAAACTTCTCTTCAACACACATACATTTCTATGAAAATCGTTCATACAGGGTTTTCATGTCCTCACCGTCTTCTTGTGGATGTTGAGTGCTGTCCGGTCGGTTCTGATGCATAGCGATCTGGTAGAGGGTGATGAGAAGCGGGTGGTGAGTTTAAACTATTGACCTCGCAGTTAGCCGTCCAATGCGTATCCTCCAGCACCAGCCCAGGACTCCAGTGAACTCATATAGTCTCCATTTGTCTACAGAGAAGCCCATTTCTCAGCTGCAATATATGCATTCTTTTTCATGAGAATAATGATAGTTGCTATTCTGATATTTCCATTTACTTATTGTAGATTCTTGAATTCCTGTGTTCTATTTTTAACTATCATGAAAACCCTATGGATCGAGTGAAGTTGCTATGAGTCAGAATTGACTCAAAGGCAACTGATAACAATTTAGGAATAAAATAAGACAGAATTAAAAGTTAAGAATAAGAGAAAAGACTTGGGTTTTGTGAATATGAGCAGAGGTAAAGAATGTAAAAGGATACGTTATTAATTTTGGACGTTGCAATTGGAAACAAGAGGGAAACTTTAAAATAAGGAAGAAAACAACAGTTGGCCCCTGTATTGGTAATTGTGGTGGTCAGAGTTTGATACGTGATGGAAGATGTATTTCAAGTTAAGTGACTCACTGGACTTCACTGTGTCTCAAACCTTGTTTGTGGTTGAAACATATTTCTCATGTATGAAGTGAGGAGTCCCAAAACTTGGACTTCTATGTTTGTGCATATCTTTCTTCTACTTTAAGATTGAAGCACAGCACACAATTTAAGAATCATACACTCACATAAATAAATAGTTCTTATATGCTTATATGCCCCATATTAGGAGATCTAGTAGCATAGAGGTTACAAGTTGGGCTGCTAACCTCAAGGTCAGCAGGCCAAAACTACCAGCTGTTCCCCAGGAGAAAGATGAGACTTTATGCTCCCATAAAGATTTACAGGGTTGCTATGAGTCAGAACTAACTCCACGGCACATAACCACCACCACCACCATATGCCTCATGTGGGGAGCACCATGGCTTTCTAGGATAAGCACTGGATTGCTAGACATAGAGTCAATGCTTTGAGCCCACCAGCTATTCTGTGGGAGAAAGATGAGGCTTTCTGTTCCCGTAAAGATTTTTAGCTCCCAAAGCCCGAAACAGCATCGCTATGAGTGAGAATCAAATCTACAGCAGTTAACAACAACATGCCTCGTATTTTTTTCCCCTTAGGCATTTAAATAATTTTATTTCATATGAGAAAAGGATATAAGATTTTTGGTTTTAGAGGAATGAGCTGGATTCCTCATCAAATAGGAATTAAAATATTCCATGTAAACATAAAAAAAATGAATTCTGAATGTTTGCTTTTTGTTGTATGTTGGTTCACTGTATATTTCTGGAAATTCAGTTGGGAGTGAATAACACCTAAGTAGACTGACAAGTAATAAAGGTCCCATTTGCAATTTTCAAAGATCCCTTATTGACTAAAGAAATAATGTTTTTAATCTCATAATCACACCCCACCCATTGGGCTTTTGCAACTGGAATTCCTTCTAATTTCAAGGCAGTTAAAGGATACTTAAAGCTCTCTTCTTACATCCTGTTTAAACCTTGCGGCCATTCTTAGAGGAAGGGGATCTCTTAGAGTCTGATAGACCATTGAAGGGACCCAGACGATGGTGGCGTGAGTGTGTGCATAACAGGCTTTTTCAAGGCTTTATTTTTGACATTTGGAAATAAATCGTATGCCTTCATGGCATTCGTCCTGATGCCTTTATTCAATAAATGTTTATTATGTGTCTGCTATGTGGGAGGCATCCTGTCAGGGTATGGAAGTGGAAAATGACTTTTCTACCTCTCCACTACTCCCACCGGAGGTCAGTGACATGCCTTTCTCACCTGCACTCTTCCAGCTGACTGCCACTTCTCTTGTGTCTCTAATCTCTGCTCTACAACAATCCTATCTCCCAAAACACCAGTCTCTTATATCACACAGTGCAGATTCGGGGCTTTCCATTTCTTTTCGAATAAAGGTCAGAATTCTTAACATGGTGGCATACTGTTTTGCAGTCTGTCCTCATTTCCATCATGTTCTCACTTGCTTACTGTGCTTCAGTTTAACTGGCCTCTCAGCCTCTTTAATGTGTTAGATCCCATCTCAGTCCCAGAATGTTTGTGAGTGAGTCTCCTCCCAAGCCCTCACAACTATTATGGTCTAAGTCTGTCTTTCAAGCTGCAACCCAAATGTTAATTTTCAGGCAAGCTTTCCTGACCTCCTCCTACTATTGCAATATTCTCATACTCCCTTTGATCTTTTCTTTAAGTCACTGATGGTGTGATTACTTGATTAAAACTCTCAGCTCTTGGAGGCAAGAACCCTGTTTGGTTTTGCTTACAGCTCTATCCCCACCCAGTGCCTAGCTTAGAGTCTGGCACCAAGTAGGTACTTTACAAACACTTGATGGATGAATGAATCAAACAAGCCCTGTATGGTCCTAATAGAGAAGACTAATGAGTAAGCAGAGAATTACAGCAATGTGATAAGTACTTGACATTTATTTGCAAGTTTTCTTATATCAATGAATAATCCAAGCTTATTATTATTATTATTATTTTGCATTAAGAAAAATATAGCCGTAGTCAGTTATTCAGCAATTTATAAGAATTACTGTTTCTTAATAATTACTTAAGAGGTCCACGAAAACCCTTTGGGCACTTATATTGAAGAGGCAATTACTGACTTTTCAAGAACATGGTAGTTAAATTCAACGGACAACAAACTTTTTTGTTTTATTGGAAAAGATTGGCATAAAGCATTTATTCTTTGTAGGACTTTTGTACTCTCCCCTTGAAATAGTAGTGTAGTGGTTACGAATCGGGCTGTGAACTGCAAGGTCAGCAATTGGAAACTACCAGCTGTTCCACCGGAGAAAGATGAGGCTTTCTACTCCCGTAAAGATTTACAGCCTCAGAAACCCCGTACAGGGTCGCTATGGGTCGGAACTGACTCCACGGCACATAACAACAACAACAACAACAACAAGTGAAATAGTAAATCTTTCAGAGATTCCACAGAGCTACTGGAGAATTTTCTGAAATCAGTGGTAACAGAAACTTTTCAGATGCCTGTAACAAAGCTGGCATTTTATTACATAACTGAACCTCAAACGGAAACGCAAACTCTTTTCCATAAAGTCAGTTTGGACTCATGGTTACCCTGTCGGCAGAGTCGAACTGCCCTCTTGGTTTCCCAAAGCTGTAAACTTTATGGAAGCTGGAGTCAGACTATGGCTCCTTCCTCCCACATCTGACCCCTACATTTAACCCCTGCACCACCAGGACTCCTTAACTGAGAACAGTGCACCTGTATTTCTTCTGACTCGATTGGGCAATATTGGTGCCAAGTTTGCCCAGTGTTGTTGAGTTGGTCCCAACTCATAGTGATCCTAAATAGAGTTTCAGTGGAGCAGCTTGTGGGTTTGAACTGCCAGCCCTGTGGCTCACAGTCCAGTGCTGATCCTACAGTGCAATATCAGAACTCGCACTGTAACTGAGTTAATACAACTGCAGTTAGTTATAGGAATGCTGAACTGGATAAGCATTCTTATTTTTAAATGAAGTAATAGTTTTTGTGAAAATATTCTCCCTCCTCACAGTGCCTAGGCATGTTTGCCTAATTTTAACCAGTGACCAAATCTAAAAGTTATATTTGGGAAAAAAATTTTTTTAAGTAAATAGCCAAGTAGCAAATTGTTATTGTTGTTGTTAAGTGCCATTGAGTTGGTTTCTACTCTAGCAAGCATGTATCAAGTTTCCAAGGAGTGACTGGTGGGTTTGAACTGCCAACCTTGTGGTTAGTAGCCCAGTGCTTATTGTAACGTGCCACATCAAGGGTGCAGTAACACAGTTGATGCTATCAAACTGATCACTATCTCTTCCTAATCAATTTCTTAGTGGATTAGTTTATGTTGTTATTATTTATATCCTCCCCCCACCCCCCCAAATCCAATCATGTATGTATTTAGGAAATGTCTGCAGCATTTTAGGAGTCCTGGTGTGGCCCTGTGGGTTAAGGCACTACACTGCAAGGCCAGTTTGAACCTCAAGGTCAGTAGTTCCAGCTCACCAGCTGCTTCTTGGAAACCCTATACAGGGTCGCTATGAGTTGAACTTAGTACATGTTTGTATTGTCTCTAATGTGGTTCCGATTGTGCTTGTGTTTTTAATAGGACACACATAATGAAAGGAAAATAAACTACAAGGAGTCCTTAAGGATAGTGCATCTCTGTGATTGAATGTGCCATTAGGTATAGAATTTAGAGGTTCAGTCATGTACAACCTGCTACTATTTGCTGGTTATTCACAACAAAATGGTCCTTTAATGTCTCTTGTGAATTTATAAATCCTGTAATTCTACAGTAAAGTCCACCGCCAACGTTCCTGAATTTAACTTGTTGTTTGTTTTATTTAATTTGTTTTGTTTCCATACTCTGTGAAGGGCAGAGAGCCCTGATAGCATAGTGGCTTACTTGTAGTGGCAGTTCAAATCCGCCAGCTGCTCTGTGGGAGAGAGATGAGACTTTCTCCTCCTACAGAGATTTACAGCTTTGTAAACCTCATACAGGGTCCCGCTGAATCGGAACCAACTTGACAGTACATAACTGCTACCATCGTACAAAGGGACTTCAAAAAGTTAGTGGGGAAATTCCATTCTCTTTAATTCTGTTTCTCCATGAACTTTTGAAGCCCCTTAGAATGAACCTATTTCTTATATACATATATAGGTTCAGAAAGCTTGAGATCAGATACCTGTGATGGAAATAATGTCAGAAGATAGTATAAGAATGATAAAGAGATTTCTTTCCTTTGAACCTAGCAGGGAGAATTTCTTGACTTTGGCACAAATAAACAGAATACATAATTATCTGAGATGTGTTATTAGTTTAACTGAAACTTCTTATCAAATTAGGGAATCAAACACTTTTCCTATTTTCAACATCATAGTTTTCAAGAGTAGTACAGTCGTTTGCACTCTTGTATTTCTTTCTATCCCCTTACAACCTTAAAGATGAAATTCTATCTAGCATAATTTTATTTCACATTATTAATAAGGATGGTTTGAGAGTTAGTCATTTCTTCAAAGAAAAGAAAAACAAGACATTGTTGCAAGAGCCATGCTAGAAAGGGAAAGAGGAGTAAAGAATGGAATGACTTGTACTGCTACTTGCAGCATTCTGCCAGATTCCAAGACAGAAGTGGTGCGTGGTGGTGTGCTGCTGGTGGTATGCTGTGGAGGCGGTTCCGACTCACAGTGAACCCTGTATAGGGTTTCCGAGGCTGTAAATCTTTATGGGAGCAGAAAGCCTCATCTTTCTCCTGCAGAACCCCTGGTAGTTTCAAACTGCCGAGCTTGAGATGAGCAGCCTAACTCAGAACCACTATGCTACCAGAGCTCCTGGAAGTAGTACATAGTGTGTCAAATGTGAGGTAACTGAAAAGTGTAGAATTATGGAAGCTCTAGGTTCAGAATCATATAATAAGAGATGTTTATCAATATAACATCTTTATGTCAACTGACTTTATTTCATTATTTAGATTTTTATGAGAGTTTAGTTATAATGTTTTTTAAAGCCCAATGTTTTCTTTCGTTCTTAGATACACTGTGAACTATGATTTAAATTGTATACCTTTTATGCACACACATATGCACACATTCCTACAGGCAAATCAGCATTTCTTAAGCATATAGCTAGTATTCAAGTTGATGAGAGGTACGTTTGAGAACAGTGTAGTATCGTGTACCGTGAAATGAGGTAAGTTGATCAAATCAAATCAAACTGTTGATTTTTATACTGTTCAGAACGCTTGAGTAATTATATAAATATAAGTAAAGAAAACCTAATCACCATCTGAAGATTTTAAATCGGGCTATTTTTCTGTATCCCTTCCTTTTCTTACCCATAGCAGGATTGATGTTTCTGATTGTGGTGATCTAGACATCTGACATAACTGGACTGCTAACCACAAGGTTGGCAGTTCAAACCCACTAGCCACTCCCTGGAAATCCTATACAGGGTCGCTGTGAGTCAGAATTGACGCAGCGGCACTTAACAACAACATAGGCTGATGAAGGGAAATACCCAGGTGGTTCTTATTTTATTTAAAAGCCATACGCACTACATGCTGTATTTCTTTAAGACTTACCAGTTATTTTGGACTTCCTAAATATGTTAATGGAGACTCCTAGCATGATGCTGTGGGTTAATGTGCTGGACTTCAAAGTTGGTTTGAACCACAAGGTTAACAGTTGAAGCTCACCAGCCACTCCTTGGAAACCCTATACAGGGTTGCTATGGGTGGAAACCAACTCGAAGGCACTTAGCAACAACAATAACAAGCATTGTAATAGAGCTGATGCTTTAGCTTGGCCTGCAAATTAAAATCCTGTAGATTTAATCAAACTTTGTGTACCTTACAGTTCATTGTTTCACCTTTCTGTTTTGTTTTACATTGAGGTGTTTTCATTTAAAGTGAAAGTTGTTCTGCATTTAGTATGGGCACAATGAATGAGATGTGTATATTTTGGGGGCATACAATTTGTTACTTCAGCAAATACAGAAATCTCTTATTTGCAAGGACAAATTTCGATTTTGATCTATAGAACTTGCCTCGTCACTCCGACTGCTTCCTCATACCCTACGATCATTCGAAAATACTTCCTCACTTTCCAGCTCTATGGCAGACCTCTTCTAGGACTGTAACAGGGAACAAAGTCAACATAAAGTCCAGACTTGTGGTTTTTCTGAATGGAGGTTGAAAATATCCCTTGCAGCCCTTTTAGAAAAGGCCTAGGTCAGCTCAGCACAAAGTGCCAACCTTGATAACCTTCAATAAGAGACAGCAGAGTGGACGGGAAAGGAACAGAAGGAGCATTGTGAGTTTTAGAAAGAGGTTGAGCGACCAGCCCCTCGGGGTGCTAACTGAGAGCTGCAGGATACACATTACAAAGTTCCTTCTTCCATATAAGCCTTCTCTTTATCATTCTCTGAGCGGCCTCCTCTTTCTCTTTCATGCCTCTGAACATTGGAGGCCCCGAAGCCTTTCTTTATTTCTACTCCTCTGGGTGATTTCTTTCATGGTCAGGATTTTAAAAAAGTGTATGTCTAATGTTGTCTAAAATTATAGCTCCTATGATTTTTTATACCAACTTTGTATTCCACAAGGAGCTCTGGTGGTGTGGTGGCTTAGGTGTTGGGCTGCTAACCGCAAGGCGGGTGGTTCAAACCCAATAGCAGCTCTGAGGAGAAAGCTGAAGCTCCCGGTATAGATTACAGTCTCGGAAAGCCTACATAGGACTCCTATGCGTCAGAACCGATTCAGTGGCAGTAGGTTGGGTTGGGGTTTATATTCCTCAACTCTATTTGATCCTGATTTAAAAAAAAAAAAAAAATGTCAATCAAAAATGAGTGAGTTTCATCTTACTTTCAAGAATTTGCCTATTTTTCAAATATGTCATAAGAGTAATTCTCTACTGCTTTTTCTCTTTTTATTTTGGTGTTCATGTTTAGCCAAAGATCAACACTATTCAGACAAACTAGTTTGTCCTAGTTGAATTCCATAAGAAAGCAAAACCCCTGAGATGTTTAAAATGGAATTGTCTTTATTAGATTTTTAGCCCTCCTCATTTCTTAAAGGATATGAGATGATTTAGAAAGTTTGCATCTAATATGATCAAAAACCAAGATGAGCTAGTGTAGGGGAGGGAATATATTTGAAAATGCAGTTATGACTCTTGTCATAAGCAGTGCTTTCTAATGCTTCTCCAGTGTGTCAGCTACTTGATGAAACCCGCTTTATTGCTCTTCTACTTACATCCACTTTTAAGCAGAAAAATCGCATGATTTTGAACTCAATTATTAAAATCTTTTAAAGTGAATTCTTATTGAGTTGTGACATGAGCTTTTTGTTGTTGTTGTTTTAACACAAGTATTGACTATAAAGAACATTGGGAAATTCTCGGGGCAACTCACGAAGCATGTCATTTCTCTCTAGGAAATGATGCTACATCGATTGTCAACTGTCTTCATATTTTGGGTCAGACTTTGGATGCAAGGTAACATGGGTACATTCTTCTCTAGATCCGTGAATATACTATTAAGAATATTAAGAACTTGATGCTTAACTTTTATTTTTTGGAAATGTAATAAAGACTTCATTGTAGGTGGAGAAAAGTATAGCAACTTGTTGTTTTATGATCATATGATAAAGGAGCCTTGTGATACGGTGGCTAACTACTCAACGAGTAGCCAAAGAGCACCAGTTTGAACCCACCAGCCTTTTCCTGGGAGAGGAATGTGGAATCAATTTCCTTGAAATTACAGCCTTGGACACCCTATCGGGTAGTTCTATTTTGCCATATGGGGTTGCTAAGAATTGGAATTGACAATGAGTGTGTTTGATTTTATATATGGTGGTGGTGGTGGTTATGTGCCATGGAGTCAGTTCTGACTCATAGCGACCCTGTACAGGGTTTTTGAGGCTGTAAATCTTTACGGGAGCAGAAAGCCTCATCTTTCTCCCGTGGAACAGCTGGTAGTTTCGAACTGCTGACCTTGCGGTTCGCAGTCCAATTCGTAACCAGTACACTACCAGAGCTCCTTGATTTTATATATAGGTTTCTATTAAATTTCAAGCAGTAGTCTTGGTGTAGCGCTGTGTGAGCTGTAGCACTGGACCACGAGGTCAGCTTGAACCACTGAGTTGGCAGTCAAACTCACCAGCTACTCCTGAGAAATCCTTTTCAGGGTTTCTATGAGTCGGAATGGACTTGACAGCACCAAGCAACAACAACAACATAAATAGAACAGAATGCAATTATCCTGAGAGGAAAAATGGGAAACCGATGACTGGTGGGTCTCGTTAGCTTCCAGGCACAGTACTAGCTTCACCTGAGTAGTATGTTTACCCTTCTAGGAAAGGTGAGGATTTTATTCTCGTTTTAAGCACTGGAATGCTAACTACAAGTTTGGTGGTTCAAACCCACCAACTACTCCTTGGAAACCCAGGGTCACTGTGAGTCGGAAGCGACTCGACGACACTTAGCAACAACAACAACAACAAATTGAAGTTTGAGATTACATAATAAGTGTGGAACTGATTTCCAAGTTTATGCGCTTTCTACACTGTCAGAATATCAAATGACTATAAGTCCAACATGTTGACTCTATACAAAAGAGGTTCATTTGGCGTGATTAATTCAGCATTTAAGCCATACAGCTGACTCATAACATGCAGGGTAAATCTATCTAAGTAAAAGTTTCTAAATGCCTCCTACAAAGAATATGTCATGATACTCAATTTGGTCTTGTGTTTATTTTTTTGTTTGAGATGCTTTCTATAGCATCATTATATACCATTTTCTATGAGAAACAGTGACATTAGGGTTTCAATTCTGTATAAAGTTTAGTCTTGAAAGGTTTATTTAGATAGGATTTGATTGCTAACCCTTAAAGTGTTTTAAAAAAACAAAACAAAACAAAAAAACAATCCCGATGGCTCAGGATTGGGCTGTTTCATTCTGTTGCTCATAGGGTCTCTATACAATCCCGATGGCTCAGGATTGGGCTGTTTCATTCTGTTGCTCATAGGGTCTCTATACAATCCCGATGGCTCAGGATTGGGCTGTTTCATTCTGTTGCTCATAGGGTCTCTATGAGTCGGAACCGACTTGAAGACACCTAACAGCAACCCAGTATAAAAATCTGTGAGTGCTGTTTGGTGACTTGGTTTAGAATGCATCAGGAAACCTTCTAGTTTTGTTTGCTTTGAGATTCATGGCTCAGAAGCGAGTTTCTGTAAGTTATTCAGTTGGAGTCTTCTGATGGGAAATATGAAACATTGGCAGTACACTTTACTCTGAAGTTTTCAGTAAGTTGACTGCAAGCATTTGGAAAGGTCTGTGGTTCTAGAGCAGTATTGCTGCAGTTTGAAATCCAGCATAGTGGTTTTGAGTTCGGCTGCTAATTTCAAGGTCAGCAGTTCAAAACTACCAGCCATTCCGTGGGAGAAAGATGAGGCTTTCTGCTCCCATAAAGATTTATAGCCTAAAAAACCCTACATAGGGTCGCTATGCATCAGAACTGACTCCACAGCACGTAACACCAACCCCAATGTAAACATATGGTTGCTCCAGCAATAGATGGATGGATAAACAAAATGTGGTAAATGAATACAGTGGAATGTGGTGGTTGTTAAGTGCTGCCGTGGAGCTGATTCCAAGTCATAGCAACCCTGTATAGGGTTTCCAAGGAGCAGCTGTTGAGCTTGAACCACTTAACTTGCAGTTCAAACGTTCAAATCGAATGTTACTCAACCATAAATAAAAATGAAGTTGTGATGCACATCACAACACAGATAACCTAGAAAACTTTATGCTGAGCAAAATAAGTTTGTTGCAAAAGAATCATTACTGCATGCCTGTAAAAATCAAATATCTAGAAATGAAACATGACTTATGGTTACAAATGAGGAGGGGTTTGGAATGGTTCAAATTTTGTTTAGGGTCTTTGAGTTTATGTTAATGGTCGTGGGATAATTTGGAAAAGGATAATGATAGAGCTTGTACAACATAAAGAATACAATCGGTGCAACTGAGTTTAGATATACATGGGGAAGTTACTGAATTGATGAAGGTTTTGTTGTGGATGTTTCCCCCACAACAAAAATATTTCATTGACTAGGTACATGCTTTAATTGAGAAATACACATAAAGTGGCCGGGTATTTTCGTTGTGAGAGGTATGACTCTTTCCATTTATATTATAGGACCGTGATGAAGACCGGCCTGGACAGTGTGAAAAGTGCCCTCCGGGCCTTTCTGGACAACGCAGCAGAGGACCTGGAGAAGACCATGGAAAACCTGAAGCAAGGCCAGTTCACACACACCCGGAACCAGCCCAAAGGCGTCACACAGATCATCAACTACACTACGGTGGCCCTCCTGCCCATGCTCTCGTCATTATTTGAGCACATTGGACAGCATCAGTTTGGAGAAGATCTGATACGTATGCGCTAAATGATTACTGTTTCACTATCTACGTATGACAGTTAGTCAGAGCCACCTCTGTGTTATTCAAATAGTGCTTTTCAAGAAAATGCTTTTTTGCAAAAATTACAGATGTACATTTAAGTTACAGAAACTCGATAAAGATAAATTATTGAATTACATAAATTCAAATAGCACACCATTAGCGTGCTGGCTATGGAAGATATCTTTTACGTTGTTTAAATATTAATTCCAAATTTTAGTGTGTCTTTTCATCTTTTTTATTCTGCTTTTTTCCCCCACTATTTCTTTGTCTCTTTTCATATACATTTTCTAATACACCCTGACCATATAACATGCCACATGAAAGATTTTCAAGTTCTTTCTGAGTTGCCACAGATTGTTCGCACAAGCAATGCTACCAGCTAACTATGAAGACTATTGAGGCCAAATCTGAGTCTAAAGGTTTTGTTTATAGGTTTCAGTGTATTTTTATAGGGTTGAATCAGCTGTTGTTGACTAGAATTTTACAGTTACTATACATATCCACAGAATGCCAAGGTTACCTGGAGAACATTATATAATGTATCCTAACTGACTGTTGATAACTCCAAATCCAAGCTGAACAAACTCCTTGGCCACTGAGTCGATTCAGACTCAGAATAACCTCCTGCATAGGGTTTCCTAAACTGTAAATCATTACGGTGGGGGCTCTGGTAGCAGAGTGGTTACAACTTGGGCTGCTATTCGCACAGTCAGCAATTCGAAACTACCAGAAGTTCCATGGGAGAAAGATGAGGCTTTCTGCGCTCGTAAAGATTTACAGCCTCAGAAACCCTATACAGGGCCGCTATGAGTCGGAAGTGACTCCACGGCACATAACCACCAGCACCAAATCATTATGGGAGCAGACAGCCTCATCCTTCTCCCACAGAGCCTTTGAACTGCAAACCTTGTGATTAGCAGTCCAGTTGCTAATGAAAATTGATTTGAGTCCTTCTTGAGCATATGCCTGGTCTTCACTGAAGACTTCCTTGCTTTCGGATGATGGGCTTGTTGTTGTTAAGTACTGTCTTGTCACTTCCAACTCAGAGTGACCCTGTATAGGGTTTCCGAGGAGTGGCTGCTATGCTTGAACTGCCAACCTTGCAATTCAAACTGACCTTGCAGTGCAGCACATTGACCCACAGTGCCACACCAGGCCTCCAGATGAGGGGCAGCTCTGTATGACAATGACTTCATTTAACTAACAGCAACATTGCTTGAAGTCTGGAGGGCCAGGGTTATTTCTTTCTCCATCTCTTGGTTTTTCCTCCAAAATATAGTAGGAGATTTGGAATTAGAGAACCAAGGTCATTGGATTTCTTTTAAACATGTTTTCTCTAATAACAGATAATTTATAAGACTTTATTTGTTTTTCTGGCTTCAAAGGTGGCTACAGTGATTTATTTAATTAGAAAAACATGTCGTGAATGTCAAGCCATTTGGAAAATAACTAATTTACTGTATTCTCTAGTAGTCTCATTAGTGTTCATTTGAGAGTTAAAGTGAAAAATACAATCCTTGTATGCCTGTGGACAGTGAGGCAAGAACTGTCTTTCCTGTCAGACAATCTTTTGCTTCATTTTATTCTTTGGGGTGGGGAGTGTTTTATTCTAGTACTTAGAAAAAGTTATAAATAGTTTCTGAGAATGTTCTGAATAATCACAGAATGTTCTTAAGATGGTTTTATATTCCCTAAAGTAAATAATTTTGTGTGAGAAAAAGTGTTTCTAGTGTTTATTCTTATTTTTCTTATTTCAATGTTCAGACGTTAGCATGCCTTTACTATGTAGTTGTGTTTTCACCCTAACTTTTCTTAGGACAGTGTATAGATCGAAGGCGTTCTGTATTTATGGGAATTTCTCTTTTCTTTAGTGGAAGATGTACAGGTGTCCTGTTACAGAATCCTGACTAGCTTATACACTTTGGGAACTAGCAAGAGTATCTATGTGGAGAGGTAAGATTGAAAAAGCTGCTTTAAGCTTTATAAATATTTCTATCGGAGTCTTCATTTTGTAACTTTTCCTTGGTTATAAAGTAAAGTGGATTGATCTACTGAATTCTTCTGTGCTAATTAGAAAAATTTCAAGCTAAATAATAATTGATGTAATATAGGGCAGTTGAATTTTGCCTAATAAGTAAAGCTATAATGATAAATATCATATTTAATGTAAAGTTTAAACTTACCTTATTTATGAGTCTTATGAATCAACTAGTAGAGTTCCTTCATTTTCAGTAAGAAATACCAAGTAAATATAAACATAGACAGCTATTGATAAGATCAGTTTTATGTTTTCATATTCTCAAATATCAAAGCAGGAGTGATAACAATGTCAAATGACATGGAGCTGTGAATTAAGCTAAGAAGTCACCACTGAATTTAACCAGAACAGATCACTTGCCCCTTGAGTAACAAATTGGAGTAAAGAGGAAAAGGAGGGCATTTTCTAAAAAGGCTTGATTCAGTAAAAAATCGTTCAGGTGGAAAGATTCAATATTTGAATAAATGTGAATTAACTTTCTAATTAATTGTGAATTAATTATAATAAAATTGCAAATAAAAATTTGTGTTTAGTGAACCTGCAAAAATGATTTGAAAAGTCATGTGAAACAGTAAGCTCATGAGAAAATATGGAATATAATTTTGAAGGGAAGAAAGTAATGACAATAATGACACTTGGACTAAAACTACAGTAATTAAAATGGTGTGGCATTTATGTAGAAACAGGAAAGTACATCAGCGAGAAAAGATTACTGGGTTTATTTTCAATATTTTAAACGAATCCTTGCTTTTTTAACTGAATTTTGTCACATGATTTTTATGGCTATAAAATTTGTATGCTAATGAAGTACTGTAATTTGTTCACATGACACATTGATTTGGATATTTAGCTGCTTTCTCTTTTTCACTAACATAAAAACTGCTAAATTTCTGTTCCTAAGTTTCTGTGTATGTTTATGCTTATATTCTCAGGATTTGGAATTTTATGTTATGACAGCTGTTTCGAACTCTCCTTCCAGAAAATCAGACTTTTATCATAGAATCTTCACTTATTCTTGTTTTTCTCACTTCTGGTTATATACATTCATTTCATTTACAAGTGTCATCGATAAAATTGGAATCTCATTTTTATTTTTAGATGCATTGCTCTAATTACCACTTTATTTTTTCATGTTTCCATGGACATTGTTTTAAATGAATTGCCTCTTTTCATCTTTTGTATGACTTGCAATAAATGTTCCGTTTTAAAACAAAAACAAAGAACCTGTTCATCTGTTTGTTGCCTGATATTTCTTCAGTTTTTATGCCACATAGTATTTTGAAGTCTTTCTAGTGCCTGTAAAAAAAATTATCTATTTCTAGTGTTTATAATTTGGAATATTTGATTTTTTTTTTTTTAATAATCAAACTTATCAATCATTGGAATTCTGGTGTGGCCTTGTAGGAGAAACGCTGAACTGCTAACTGCAAGGTCTGAGGTTCAAACCCTCCAGCTACTCTTCCAAAAACCCTATAGAGTGTTGCTATGACTCAGAACTGATTCAACAGCACTGAACAATAACAAAAATATTTCTCTTAATTATGTTTTAAAAAGTTTTCTCTATCCTTTTAGCAGACATTTCAGATCTTTTTCTGGTGAAGTTTTAGTGGTGCAGATCCTTAGTTCATTTAATGATGTTATTGGCAGCTGTTGAGGTACCAAAATGAACACAATAAAAATTTAGTCTCAGAGCTTATAGCTGTGGAGGGCAGTAAAACCAAACAGGTAAGCTGAGAAATATAATAATGGGAGATTATCATTTGTTCTATGAATACAGAAGCTATGTAAGGAAGGCTGTTGTTGTTAAGTGCCATTGAGTTGATTCTGACTCATAATGTCCCTGTATAGAGTTTCTGAGGCTGTAAATCTTCGAGGGAGCAGAAAGCCTCATCTTTCTCCCACAGAACGGCTAGCAGAGTCAAACCATGGACTTTACGGTTTGCAGTACAGTGCTTATCATATGGAGCCACTGCATGCCCATATAAGGGATAACAAGGATTACTTTATCAAGTTAGACAGGAGCGTATCTTTTAAGAATCAACTTTTTAAGCTCAGAACTTTTCTCCACGTAACCGATACAGAAGATGTAGATAGATTGTGTCTACTTGCTTCTTTTCCCACCCTGAAGCACCATGTGATTCCTCACCCAAGTGATGGTTGTGGTGTGGAAATTTTGAGGAGACTGGAAAATGTGTGAAATGATCAGCTCTGGAAAAAGGAAAGGAATTTCTCTTATATGGAATGTAAAATTGAAAATCAGTATTTAAAAATCGTCCATCATTTGTAAAATAGCCTTATGTTAAATACTTCTCTCATCTTGTAATTTAAAATAAGACCTTTACCCTGGACTAAGGTAATATATCTGCCACGTTGTATTTCTAAAATTTCTCTTTTGTTCCTTTAGTTTTTAATGATTCTGTCATAGCACATTGTTTGAATGATTGCTATTTTATAATATAATTTAGTATCTGATAGTTTGAATCCTCTTACATCTTCTTTTTACTGAGGCCTTCTTGCCTAAGTATTTTCATGAAGAAATTTGGGATCACTTGGAGTTTTAATTTGAATTTTCTTAGTAGCAATATTATTATTACTTTTTCAGTTTTAAATAATGACCAATTTTACTATAGCTTATTCACTTAGAAAGCTTTTTAAAAACAGATATTTTCCACTTGTAGGCAACGTTCTGCATTAGGAGAATGTCTGGCTGCCTTCGCTGGTGCCTTTCCCGTAGCGTTTTTGGAAACTCATCTGGACAAACATAATGTTTACTCTATCTACAATACTAAGTCTTCACGAGAGAGAGCAGGTAAAGCAAAAACGTGCGGTATTGGAGAGATGTAACTGAAATATCACAGTATGTCTTGTATTGCCTACAGGGATCCTTACTTTGCTGTTTCGTTTTATCTTATCCAATACTTCTTGTTCTTATGTTCTTTGTTGCTGTGTTTTTGTGGAATATTGTATACTGTTCTCCTATATCTGAAAAAAAATTTGTTTAATTTATAATAAGAAAATGATCCACACGCAAATTGTTGTTGTTAAGTGCATTCGAATCGGTCTGACTCATAGTGACCTCCTCTAAGGAGTGACTGGTGGGTTTGAACTGCTGACCTTTTGGTTTAAAGCACCCTTGCAGTCCAGTGCTTTATCTAACAGTGCTACACTAGGACTCGACACACAAATTAACACTCCCAAAAAGAATACACAGGAATTCAGTGAAAATATATATATATATTAAAAAATAGATAACCTGATTTCTGATTCAGTTCTATCTTCTAGTCAGTGCTGCGTTATTATGATCTGTATGCATTCCTATTCTTCTTTTTTTTTTTTTTTTGGTCTACTAAGAAAATAAACAAAATATTTTTCTTTGTTCTACTGGGACAGTTTTATTTCTTGTGCCTTTTTCGAATGGTTGGGTTCCATTTTAATTATTAGAAAATAAAAATGTATACATGTGAGATACACTCAACAACATGCACCTGCCTCTAGTGTATGTTTTCCTAATAGTTTGTGTTTGTGTGTATAGTAGGTATCTATCTAGCTATATATGAAGTACTGGTGTGACACTGTAGGTTAATGTGCTGAACTAACAAGTCAGTTTAAACTGCAAGGTTGGCAGTTCAAGCTCACCAGCTGCTCATTGCAAAACCTATATGAGTCTATGGGTTGGAACCGACTCCTTGGCACTTAAGAACAACAACATCTATCTATGTATCTGCCTATCTATCTACCTATCTGTATATTCATCTATCATGTTTCTTTCCATTTGGGAAAATCTACTTATTTGCTGAATTGACCCATTTCCCCCACAGATGTCCTGGTTGAAAAACAACTTTAAGAATCATTTCTAACGATTTCAATTACTGGCCTTTCAGAACTTATTAGCATTATCAGTTAGGATTTATATTTAGCTAGATAAGCAAATACTTAATAAAGCATAAACTTACTTTGTATTTAATCTGTTCTTTAAAGCAATTGAAGTACAGTTCCTACCAACTGAATGTTACATAGCATCTCTCATATAATGATTTTGCTTAATTTCCTCTAAATATAATTAGATGCATATTTAGAGGAAGTCAAACAAAAGTATTCTATGCAAAGGTGTTATGTAACATTCAGGTTCTAGAAACAAACAAGTCCTGGTGGCATAGTGGGGTTTGCAGTGGCCTGCCAATCACAAGGTCAGCAGTTCTAATCCACCAGCCTCTCCACAGAACAACAATGAAGTTGCTGCTTCTGTAAAGACTTACAGACTTGGAAACTCTATATAGGGTTGCTATGAGTCATACAGTAACAGCAACAATATTGTATTTGAGTTGGATTTGAATAGCCCTAAAGAGTTTTAAGAAATTGGATAAGAAATATTTACTGTTCACAAATGCATAACTTTCTGTGAATGGTCTTGTTTCTATGTGTAAGTCATTTCTGTATAGCCACTGGTGGGTTATACTAATAGTATAAAATTGTATCAAAGAGAGACTCTTAAAAAGACTTGAATAATAATTAATTAATGATAAGACACTGAATGGCTTAAAAGTAGAAAATGTGTGTGCCAGGGTTGGATTCTTTCACCACATTTATGCAATCTGTACATTGAGCAAATAATCTTAACAGTTGGATTATATGAAGAAAAATATGGCATCAGGATTGGAGGAAGACTCATTAACAACCTGTGCTATGCAGATGATACGATCTTGTTTGCTGAAAGTGAAGAGGACTTAAAACACTTACTGGTGAAGATCAGAAACCTCAATGTAAAGAAAACAAAAATCTTCACCAGTGGACCAATAAATTACATTGTGATAAATTATTGGTCCACTGGTGAAGATTTTTGTGATAAATGGAGAAAATATTGAAGTTGTTGAAGACTTCATTTTGCTTGAATTCACTATCAACACTCGTGGAAACAACAGTCAAGAAATCAAACCGTGTATTGCTTCAGGCAAATCAGCTGCACAAGTGTTGAAGAGCAAAGCTGTCAGTTTGAGGAGTAAGGTGTGCCTAAGCTAAGTCATGGTATTTTCAGTAGCTTCCTATACATGTGAAAATTGGACAGTGAATAAGAAAGAACATAGAAGAATTGATGCATTTGAGTTAAGGTGTTGTAGAAGACTGTTATAAATATGATGGACTGCCAGAAGAACAAACACATCTGTTTTGGAAGAAATCTGAGTTGGAAGATGACCAGATTCTATCTCTCATATACTTCAGACGTATTATCAGGAGGGACCAGTCCCTGCGGAAGGACATCATGGTTGGTAATGTGGAGGATCAGTGGAAAAGAGGAAGACCTCTAATGAGGTAGATTGGCACAGTGGCAATAGCAGTGAGCTCAAGCTTAGCAGTGATTGTGAGGATGGCGCAGGGCCAGGTTGTGTTTTGTCCTGTTGTGCACAGGGTTGCTGTGAGTCAGAACTGACTTGACAGTAGATGACAACAACAACGACAATCTGTGGAATGAGTTTGTGTCCGACTGGTAATCAGAAGGTCAGCAGTTTGAATCACCAGGTGCTCCACAGGAGAAAGATGTGACCCATTGGGACAGTTGTTGGAAACCCATTGGGACAGTTCTACTCTGTCCTGTCGTGTCCCTATGAGTCAGAATCGACTTAACTGTACCCAACAGGAACAAGTTCCATATAGCAAATGAATTTGAAGAAGTATGTATTAAATTTGTCTTAGCAGCACTCTTCTATATAACATCCACAATATATTTGTAGTTAGCAAACCGTGGTTGAATTTGAATGATTAAACATCTGCGTAAACATAGAACGATTTGTCATATTAAAACTTTTGTTTATACAGATTTGCTTCAGTGTTAATCCCCCCCAAAAGAAAACAAAAAATCTTTTGATTGGTTACTATTTTTTTTATGAATTGAGACTGACGTAGGTTTGTTATTTGATTTGGGAAAAAGCACAGAACTTAACTGCTATGTTTCTGTAACATGTTATTTGCACAGGATAGTACAAAAATTAAATTGAATGATTCTTTTTTGTAATTCATTTTAGCCAATCATTCAGCAAGCATTAGTTTGTGATGCATATTATGGTATGTGGAGGAGATATGATAAGAAGATAAATAAGACTTAATCCTTTTCCTCAGGGAATTTTCATTTGCAATACAGAGAAAGAGAGATTGAACGATAAATGAGTAGAACTGAGAATTTTTAAAAGGGCAGCAAGTAAAAAGACAGTTTTAGCTGGGACCCTAGAAAGGCTTTGCAGAGTTGGTGTAAGTCTTGACATCGAACAGCTGTTGTTGGCTTGACTGCCTGTGAGGCCTACTGGAACTCTGCATAGGGCAGGTCTTGGCTGCTTTCACAGAAGCAGATAGCCAGGAACTTCCTTTCAGGCACCGCTGGATGGACTCAAACTTCCAACCTTTAGGTAGAAGTGGAACATGTTAACGGTTTACAGCAACCAGGGATTCCTGTCTTAAAATTAGAAAAGCTAAAACTCTGTTCTATTAGGAGAAACTGCAGGCATTTTGATTACAGTGGCTGGAGGTAGCATTTGGTACAGGAAATGGTGAAGGATGAAACCAAAAAGAGGCAGTAAGTAAGGAGTCAGGACCTCCCTTGACAAAGAGGGACCTATTGTTGGATTTGAACATCTCAAGAAAAGCAACATGACAGCAATAAAGAAATGAAGAAGTGGAGACATCAATTATTCAAAAATATTGTCATAATTTAGGAGAGATGTGTGAACCAAGGTCCCTTGGATGGAGAATGTGGTGTAAAGAGTAAGAGAGAAAGCAGTAAACTCAACCACGGCCTCAAATCTCTCTTAGGTTCCTAGCTTGGGTGGCCAACTGGACAGTGTTGCCTTCACCAAGACAGCACATGCTCAAGAAGTAGACTGACAAGGAAAAATAAAGTGACAATTTAAATACGTTGTGTACACGTTGCTTTTGAGATATCCACTATTATACCCCATTTTTTAAAAAATATGATTTTTGAGAATTATTAGTTTATAACAGAAGTCTAGTTCTTGCCTAGGCAAATATCTAAGCCCCCCCCCAAATAAAAACAAAAATAGAAGAGCATTAAAAAGAGATCTCTGGAGAAAACCAGTATTTAGAAGTTCCACAGATGGCAAGAGTCAGTAAAGGTCACTGACAAAACTCAGAGGAGAACCAAGAAAGACTTAGCACCTAGAAATGAAGGAAAAGGGTATTTTAGGAAAAGGAACTTGCTCAGTGGTATGAAATGCCAGTGAACAGCCAAATAAGTTAAGGAGTGTGGAAGTGTAAGTTAAGAAGGGAAACTTGAATTAAAGATGCCTGCTAGAACAATCCAGGGGTAGTGTGTAGGTTGCTGAGGGAGACCCTGGGGAGTGCAAATGGCTAATGCTCTCTCTGCTGTGGAAAATCTTAAAGGTTCCATTCCACTCCAAGGCATCTTGAAAGAAAGTCCTGGTCATTTGCTTCTGAAACTTCTGCCCTTTATAACCCTAAGGAGCATAGTTCTACTCTGACACGTGGGGTTCACTGTAAAGGGGGCTAGGCTGTTGGGAGGAGTTTTCGAGCTGAAGAGGCTGGCAGTGTAGGACTGAGTACTGCCCTTGATATAGAGTAGGGCATAGCTTAGGAAACACAGGTCGGAAAGCCTTCCTGTAAAAATGATGAACGAAGATAAAATGGGTCTAACATTAAAAAGTTTGTAGGCACCAGAGCAGGAAGTTGAAGAAAGTGATATTGATGTTTTCCTTTACCAATTTTAAGGTAGTGGTGGGAGGGTAGAAACCTGAGAGAAAAAGTGATGGTGGTGGTGAAGTGCCATGAGTCGGTTCTGACTCATAGCGACCCTGCATTGGCTTTCCGAGACTGAAAATCTTTATGGGAGCAAAAAGCCTCATCTTTCTCCCGCAGAATGGCTGGTAGTTTCGAACTGCTGACCTTGAAGTTAGCAGCCTGACGCATAATCACTACGCTACCAGCCCTCCTTTGATGAAAACAATGGAGGTTTGAAATAGCTGGAACAACAGGGAATATGCATGGAAACCACTCCGGTTTTGTTGTGTTTCGAAGACCAAAATGAAGTTGTTGATTGTGTCTATGATAAACAATGGAAATCTGCCATGTTCTGTCAGTTCTTTTATTGAACATTAATTTATTTTTTGTGTATTTCTGTAGCTCTCAATTTGCCAACTAATGTGGAAGACGTTTGTCCTACTATCCCATCTTTGGAGAAACTCATGGATGAGATTGTGGAACTGGCCGAATCTGGCATTCGCTATACACAAATGCCACACGTAATGGAAGTTATACTGCCCATGCTTTGCAGCTACATGTCTCGTTGGTGGGAACATGGGCCTGAGAACAATATGGAAAGGGCTGAAATGTGTTGCACAGCTCTGAACTCAGAGCACATGAATACACTTCTTGGGAATATATTGAAAATTATATATAATAACTTGGGAATTGATGAAGGTGCCTGGATGAAGAGGTTAGCAGGTAAGAATTGGAAGGTGAGATAATAAGGGAGCTGTAGTAGGACTGTGGGTTAAGTGCTGGGCTGTTGACAGCAAGATTGCGGTTCAAACATACCGGACTCTCCTGAGGGGAAGCATCCCATAAGAATTTACCGTATCAGAAACGCTATGTAGGTTCACTATGACTTGGACTTGTCTTCTTGGCAGTGGGTTTGGTTTAACACTTTATTATTTCCCAAAAGACTTGAAATACAGGAGACTAGAATTTTCCTATCTTAGTAGTCTATTTCAGCATTTTCTTCTGTGTTCAAAACATAGTTTTTGTTTTTGTTTTTCTGTCATGCTGTTTTTGAAAAATGTCCGTTTCATCAAACATTAGGTAACTTCTCTAAGTAAGCTTTTTCAAATAGATCTCTATAAGAGTAACCAAGAAACAAAGTGGTAACAATTCCATTAGACAGACAAAATTAAGACAATTAAGACATAATTAACAACCCATTTTTTTTTTTTTTAGGTTTTTATTGTGAATTGAGTGATAATTTACATTGGAGAACATGGGTTTTACACTCATCCTATTGTATTTCATTTTATTGCAATGATTTCAGCCCCCTGTGTGCATCATCATTCAACAATATTTGCTTCTATTAACTATTCACTTTTAACTGAAAAATTAAAATGTGCAGTATAATATTTACATTTAAATTTATCATTTACTGCATTATTTCTATTGATAAACAGGAAACAGTCTAAATGCCCAGCAACTGGCGAATGATTAAATAGGTTGCATGTGCTGTAGAATCAGCACTGGACTGTGAACCTCAAGGTCAGCAGTTCAAACCCACCAGCTGCTCCTTGGAAACCCGATACTGGGTTGCTATGTGTCGGAACTGACTCTACAGAACTTAACAATATCAACAACATTCACCCATATACCAGAATATTATGCTGTCTTTAAACATTATGATTTCAAAATGTTTTGTGAATTAGAAATTCTTTATAATGTCAAGGGGGAGGGTGAAAAGAAAAGTTTTTAAAACTGAATACATAAAAATGTACAATATATATGCTTATGAATTTACATATTGATAAAATTGGCAAAGAAATACATTAAATGGTCTTACCAATCAGGTGTTGATTATGATGAATTTAAATTCTTCTCCTTTATATATTTCTACAATGGATATATGCTACTTTTAGGTGGGATAGCCTTTTAAAAATGACCTAATCAAGTTTAGAACCTTTATTATATAACTACAACCAATATTGAGTAAATCAATAGTGTGTAGTCTGTCTTTGCTGTTGAGCCAAAGATGAGGATGGTTAAAGTGAGGGTCCTTGCAATTATTAGTGATTTGTGTATGTCTTCTAAAGAAAGTGGTAGGGGAAACTTCTAATTTGGTAATTTACTCTTTTGGATGAAGATATCGATTCCCAGACCTTTTTAAAGACAGAAATACATTGAATTCAATTCAGTGTTTGTATTTGGACAACACTATGAAATTAGCCTCTTGAGGTACAGCAATGACAAAAGCATGGGCTCTCCTCTTACAGAAGCCATGCTGTGGAGAAGAGGGTGACATTATTTGTGGCACTCTCATAATTCCAATTGATCCTCATTTTAATGAAGGTTTATGCAGAGCAGCATATTAATGTCTGTCTTCAAACAGTGTTTTCCCAGCCAATTATAAATAAAGTGAAACCTCAGCTCTTGAAAACTCACTTCTTGCCATTGATGGAGAAACTCAAGAAAAAGGCCGCCATGGTGGTATGTGAGGAAGATCATCTGAAAGCAGAGGCCAGAGGTGATATGTCTGAGGCTGAACTCCTCATTCTAGATGAGTTCACTACACTGGCCAGAGATCTCTATGCCTTTTATCCTCTGTTGATTAGATTCGTGGACTTCAACAGGTATAATGTTCAAGAATATTCCCTCCCAATTCTGTCAGAAACTGGCTTGACTTTTATGTGCCTCTTGAATAATTTTATTCTTTTCAGTTATTTAGTGACGATCTTGATCATAATTGAAACATGTTATTGCTAGCCGCCATTGAATTCACCCCTACCTCTGGCAACCTAGTGCACAGTGGGATTGGGTTATTGTGACCCATAAATTTCTGTTTTTCCATTTTCTATTTATTATTACTATTATTATTTACTTTGTCCTTTCCTCAGATTTTCCTTATTAGTTTATTGAATTATTTTTGTATTAAGACATTAACCACTATAAGTAAGTTGTGTGTGTGTATGTTTTCAGTTTGGAAGATTCCATTATTAATTTTATTATTTTTTTTTTAATTTGTGGTTAGTATGGAAGTTTACAGAGCAAATTGGTTTTCCTTTCAGCAAGTTATACACATTTTATTCCATAACACTGACTTCAATCCCACCATGTAGCACTCTCTTCCCAGGTTCTCCCTGTGTTTACCGTTTCCCTGTGTCCTTCTTTCGTATCTCTTCCTGCCTTCCCTAGGCAAATGCTGCCTTTTTGGTCTCCTGTGGTTGATTGTTGTGAGTGCATACCTCCCTGCTGCTACTGTTCACCCTGCCCTCCTGTTTATTGTTGGTCACAGGGGTGGGTTCAGTTACAGGCCTGAAGGGTGTCTAAGAACCATAGTTTCGAGCTTCTACCAGTCTCTGTTAGTCCAGTAAGACTGGCTTTTTTATGATACTGAGCTTTGTTCCACATTTTTTCTCATTCTATTCAGGACCTCCTACTGTGATCCCTCTCAGAGCAGTAGTACCATCTAGTTCTTATGGTCCCAGGGTCATGGAGGTTGGAGTTTACATGATCCATTAGTCCTTTGTTTCCTTGTTTTGTTTTGTTTTCCTTGCATTTTGGGTTTGTTTGTTTTGTTTTGTTTTCACTCTTCTTTGAGCCAATAGTTACCTTAGATGGTCGTTCACCAGCTAGTCACCAAACTAGGATGTGGAACATTGTCTTTGTGTACTATGTTATGCCAATTGAACCTGGTGTCCCCTGAGACTATGGTCCTGTGTCTTCAGGTCAAGTGACTCATTCCTTCAAGGTGTTTGGTTATGGCTAAGTTTTTAAACTTGCTGTTGTGTGCTCTACCATATCTGTGGATATATTTGAAGCACATATGTGGAAATAGTCTGACACTTTCCCATCCCTGTTCAGTATGAGTATCCATAGAGTTTTTATTGGTTGATTTTTAGAAGTGAGCTTGGTCCTTTTTTTATGATCTTGAATTTTTTTCCCACATTTCTCCCCCACTCTATGCAGCACCTCATGTTGTGATCCCTTTCTGAGAGGTTAGCAGTGATAGCTGGGCACCATCTAGTTGTTCTGGTCTCAATGTAGTGAAGGTTGGGGTTCACATTGTGCATTAGTCCTTTGGACTGCAGGTTTCCATGCATCTTCAGTTTTCATCATTCTTCTTACCTCTGAACAGAGAGAGACCAATAGTTCTGACCAATGACTCTTCACGAGCTTTTAAGACCCCCAGTTACTACTCATCAAAGTACTATATAGAACATTGTTTTCGTAGACTGTGTTATGCCAATTGACCATGGTATCCCCTAAGACCATGGTCCTGAGTTCCCAGACCCAGTAACTCACTTCTTCAAAGGGTTTGATAATGTCTAACCAAGTTTCAGAACCTTTTCCCTTGTGTGCTTTACCATACTCATGAATATATTTGCAGCAAAGGTGCATGGACAAATACCCATGTACAAATATCCTCTTTCAAACCTCTCTATATTTGTGGGTATACTCCCATTCTCTCTCCCATACCTGTTCACCCTCCGTATCTATTCATGCATCTACCTGTAGATCACCATTATTGCAGGACTGTGTATATGATAGTGCTTACCTATTGCCTTTAACTCTTGAACTCCTCCCATGGTACAACTGTGCATTGAAGCCATTATGAGCCCTGTGGGCATCCTTAGTTGCTTGGTTTAAAATTTCATTTTGGGAGAGAGTTTATTCATTTATTTTCCTGAAGGTATAACTGAGAAACCTTTTATTTTCTTAAATGCCCCAGGGCAAAGTGGCTAAAGGAACCTAACCCAGAAGCAGAGGAACTCTTCCGTATGGTGGCCGAAGTGTTTATTTATTGGTCAAAATCCCATGTAAGTATAAAAATAATAGCAGACTTTGCTTACTTAGGGAATTTTAACCAATTTTTCTATTCTGGTAGTAAACACCTATGGTAGTGTTTCTCAAACTTGTTTGCTATCTGTAAGAGTTGAAGAAAAGGAATAGCTTTCCCTAGGGACTTTTGGGTAATTTCAGGGGCTTCAAAAATTCATGTAAAAATGGAATTAAAGGGTAACGGAATTGCTTCCCATCTTTTTAAATGCCCCTCTACCACCTCAATTTTTAAAAAAAATAGTATCTTTAAGAAATCATTAGCATTTTTAATAACCACCATGTTCATTTTCAAATTCTTCCTAATAAATTTAGAATAATAATTGACATTACATACAAAAATGAATACTTTTGCCCTCTAGCATTTCCTGTATCTTTGCATTTTGCTATATAATCCCAGGAGTACTTTGGGTCCAATTTGAGAAGTACTGAACTGGTCTAGTGTTTTCAGTGGAAGCATTTTAATTTTACTTGAAAGGTACTACTTTCTCCCTAAAATTTATTATCACTCATGAACTTGTATTCTATAGTAATTTCGGTTTGCCCACATTTTAGAGTCATATGGTTTTAAATGTTAAGCATATGTAAGGTATGAACCTTGTTGATAGAGAATTTCTAAGAAACATCATTGATGAATATTCATTGTTTTCAACATTGCAAGAACTAAAATCTGAAAAATGTCACAATTTATAAGAAGTTTATAGTATTCTACCATTCTATCAGCTATTTCAAATAACAAGAAGAATAATGGTAAATGCTCATTTATTTTTACCAATGACATTTCCAAAGTTTAGAATTTTTGTATCGATGTTAATTCTCTGCTACTTTGTGAACAGCAGCTCTGAGAAAAATTAGAGTGTCGACCTCAGTTTCTTCATCTGAGAAATCTTCCCTGTTTAAGCACCCCCAGAACTGTTGTGCAAATTAAATTACTTTGAAAACATAATTTTTTTTTTAAAGGCAGTGTTAATATTTAGTATTAGGATAATTATTGGCTGCCTGCATCTGGAGAATCTATCAAATTGATCACCAGAGTGTTTATTAAGCAATTATAAACTCTGTAATCATATACAATGAACATAAAGATAATTCCCTTTTTTTAAAAAATGTGATTCTACAGCTTCACACTGATATTCATTGTGTGTGATGTCATAGAAAATTATTTTAGGTTCCTTATGTTCCAGGTAAAATCTTGACTCATATGAAGGGTATGAGCTCTTATCCTGCTTAAGTCATGCACTTAAGTGGGGTGGATTAGATCAATCAGGGAACTTCTGAAGGAAATTTTAAATCTAGAGGAAATCAATTCATCTTGAGCTGCCAAAGAAGAAAGATGAATGTTACTTTTCTTACCTTTTGTTTTCTGTTAGGTTACAATAACTTGAATGCTTAATAGGCAAATAGAACGAACGCAGGACATTCTTAAGTTAAAACCTGCATTTTTTTCTTCTTAAAGAACTGAGAATCTTCTTCAATGTAATCAGTTGATGAAATATCAAAGAAGCGTCTTTAAATTTATATTTAATAAGCAATTTGAAATGAGTATTTATAATAGTCCGTTTTCAAATGAGTATCTAATGATAACATCAAATAGCAAAAATGTGTATATGAATTTTTGAATCCCATAGGCATATTTGTAACACAGTCTGTTCATATATGTGCTATATGTACATATATGTGCTATATGTACTTCTCCAAATACTTAATGTTGAAATACAATGCGCAGCCATATGATTTTTAATAGTAAAATGAGAGGAATGAAAGTTGAGTATTAATACAAATATGCCCATTGTTTCTCAAATAAAACCTTTTATTAATCATCAGTAATTAAGAGTCAGTTGCTTACTATGGAATCACTGTTTGATTTTACTTATCCAAATGGAGGTAAGCAGTTAGATTTTTAACATGTCTTTTGACACTCTGTATTTGGATTCTTTAATATCACTACTCAATTACTTGACTTTATTAGTATCTTTATATTTCTGAACTAAAAGCAAGTAAAATAGCATAGCAGTAGTTTTAAAATAAGTAGCTAAATTAAAAATCACATCATGATTGTGCATATTCTTGGAAAATGTACGCGTATTCCGGGAACCAATATATAGTTTTAAGACAACTAAATTTAGGTTTGAGTGTGCATGCTATACCTTGGGAGATATGTGACCTTCTGACTTAAATTTCCTGAGCCCTAATATTTCCTTCATTAGGCATACATATTCATACCTAGTTCCCAAAATTGTTGCCCTTAATTAAGTGCCTTCATTAGATACTCAACAAGCATTATCTATCAACTTAATATTTATAATATAGATACTCTGAGATTCTCCTCTCTAATCTCAGTTATATATGGTCTTCTTTGTTTGTGGTGGTAGGGTATTATGTGTGTGTAAGTTTTCTTTATTGCTTCATTTAATCTAGTGTTTAAAATAGATAATATTTTTAATTTCAGTGTTTTAACTCTCCATTCCCCACTCCCTGTTAACTACTAATTGTCTTTTTGTCTCGATGGATTTACCTCCTCTAGACATTTCATATAAATGAGATCATATAAATATTTGTGCTTTTGTGTCTGTCTTGCTTTACTCAGAATGTTTTCAAGGTTCATTTCTTAAATTCACTTATTAGCAGGACTTCCTGTCCCTTTATGGTTGAATAATTTTCTATTATTCAGATATGGCACATTCTGTTTACCATTTGCCTGTTAGTGGACTCTAAAAGTAGTTCCACCTTGGACTCTTGTGAATATTGCTGCAGTGGATGTTGGTATAAAAGTTTCTGTTTGAATCTGTGCTTTCAAGTATCTTGGGTATATTCATAAGCGTGGAATTGGTCAATAATGTATGGTAATTCTTTATTTACCTTTTTGAAGAACTGATAAACTGTTTCCACAGTTCTGTACCATTTTGCATCCCTCCAGCAATAGATTAGGGTTCCAGTAGCACCATATGTTCACCAACACTTGTTATTTTTATTTTTTATTTTTTTGACAATAGGCATTCTCCCGTATGTCAAATGCTTTCTCATTGAGGCTTTAGTTTACATTCGCTAGTGACTAGTATATGGGCTGCTTATTTCCACGGCTTTAACTTCAAATTTCTTTGAAACTTCTTAGAATTTCAAAAGAGAAGAGCAGAACTTTGTGGTACAGAATGAAATCAACAATATGTCTTTCCTTATTACTGATACCAAGTCAAAGATGTCAAAGGTATTACTATAATCTGTTTTGCCTTTATAGAAT